ATTTCCCTGTATTTAGCGCCATCCATCATTCCTTCAATTCTGACCAGTTTCCCAGTACCTGCCGATGGAAAAACATCCCCACAGCATGATGCTGCCACCACCATGCTTCACTGTGGGGGATGGTGTTCTCGGGGTGATGAGAGGTGTTGGGTTTGCGCAAGACACAGCATTTTCCTTGATGGCCAAAAAGCTCAATTTTAGTCTCATCTGACCAGAGTACCTGGGAGTACCGGGGAGTCTCCCACATGCCTTTTGGCGAACACCAAACGTGTTTGCTTATTTTTTTCTTTAAGCAATGGTTTTTTTCTGGCCACTCTTCCGTAAAGGCCAGCTCTGTGGTGTTCGGCTTAAAGTGGTCCTATGGACAGATACTCCACTCTCCACTGTGGAGCTTTGCAGCTCCTTCAGGGTTATCTCTTTGTTGCCTTTCTGATTAATGCCCTCCTTGCCTGGTGGGCGGCCCTCTCTTGGCATGTTTGTTGTGGTGCCATATTCTTTCAATTTTTTAAATAATGGATTTAATGGTGCTCCGTGAGATGTTCAAAGTTTCTGATATTTTTTTATAACCCAACCCTGATCTGTACTTCTCCACAACTTTGTCCCTGACTTGTTTGGAGAGCTCCTTGGTCTTCATGGTGCCGCTTGCTTGGTGGTGCCCCTTGCTTAGTGGTGTTGCAGACTCTGGGGCCTTTCAGAACAGGTGTGTGTGTATATATACTGAGCTCATGTGACAGATCATGTGTCACTTAGATTGCACACAGGTGGACTTTATTTAACTAATGTGACTTCTGAAGGTAATTGTTTGCACCAGATCTTATTTAGGGGCTTCATAGCAAAGGGGGTGAATACATGTGCACATACCACTTTTCTGTTATTTATTTTTTAGAATTGTTTGAAACAAGTAATTTTTTTCATTTCACTTCACCAATTTAAAACTATTTTGTTTATGTCCATTACATGAAATCCAATCCGGCTACGACAGAGCCTGGATTCGAACCAGGATCTCTAGTGGCACAGCCTTAGACCACTGCGCCACTCGGGATTACTGACGTAATACAATGAAAACTGGTCCCTAGTGGACTGGACTAACATATCAAGAAGCTGATTAACAGCATGACCATTACACAGGTGCAGCTTGTGTTGGGGACATTTAAAAGGCCGCTCTAAAATGTGCAGTTTTGTCATAACACAATTCCATAGATGTCTCAAGTTTTGAGGGAGTGTGCAATTGGCATGCTGACTGCAGGAATGTCCACCAGAGCTGTTTCCAGAGAATTGCATGTTCATTTCTCTACCATAAGCCACCTACAACCTTGTTTTAGAGAATTTGGCAGTACGTCCAACCAGCCTCACAACCACAGATCACGTGTAACCACGCCAGCCCAGGACCTCCACATCCGGCTTCTTCATCTGCGGTATCGTCTGAGATCAGCCACCCGGACAGCTGATGATATTGAGGATTGTTTCTGTTTGTAATAAAGCCGTTTTTTAATGGGGAAAAATGTATTCTGATTGGCTGGGCCTTGCTCCCAAATGGGTGGGCATATGCCCTCCCAGGCCCACCCATGGCTGCGCCCCTGCCCACTCATGTGAAATCCATAAATTAGGGCCTAATGGATTTTTTTCAGTCTACTGATTTTCTTCTATATACTGTAACTCAGTACAATCTTTGACATTGTTGAATGTTGTGTTTTATATTTTTGTTCAGTATTTATTCCGGTCTCTGACATTGCTTGTTCTGATATTATTATATATTTTTCTGGATTGTGTATTGTTAGTTTTTTAAAATAGTTATTACTGCACTGTTGGAGCTGGAAACATCTGCGATAACATGTGCAAATCTGTGTACACGACCAGTAAAATTTGATTTGGGTTGAATCTCCAGGTGAATTTAAATGATTTTAGAGCTTTTTAATGGGTTTTTCAAAAGCCCAAAATAGTGAACATTAATTCAATAGTCCATTGAATCTTGTCAGGTCCACATTGGGTAGACATCAGTAGAAAAATAGGAACATATTTCAGTTGTGCATATTACTTAGTTTTTATTTGATTGCTTTATTATTTTTAAAGTAATCTCATCTTTGCTCAGGGATTAGCAGCCAGCCATCCAGACAACGTTATCTCTGTGCTCCCCATACTGTACTGTCTTTTGTTATGCCTAAGTATGCAGCAGAACTGTCTGACAAAATCACTTTACTCGTTCTTTAAAGTACACTGAACAAAAATACACTACATGACATAATATGGTGTTGGTCCCCCATTTGCTGCTATAAGAGCCTCCACTCTTCTGAGAATGCTTTCCACTAGATGTTGGACATTGCTGCAGGGACTTTCAGCCACGAGCATTAGTGAGGTCGGGCACTGATGTTGGGCGATTAGGCCTGGCTCGCAGTCGGCGTTCCAATTCATCCCAAAGTTGTTCGATGGGGTTGAGTTCAGGGCTCTGTGCAGGCCAGTCAAGTTTTTCCACACTGATCTCAACAAACCATTTCTGTATGGACCTCGCTTTGTGCTCGGTGGCTTTGTCATGCTGAAACAGGAAAGGGCCTTCCCCGAAGTGTTGCCACAAAGTTAGAAGCACAGAATCGTCTAGAATGTCATTTTAGGCTATAGCATTAAGATTTCCCTTCACTGGAACTAAGGGGCCTAGCCTGAACCATGAAAAACAACCCCAGACCATTATTCCTCCTCCGCTAAACTTTACAGTTGGCAGAATGCATTGGGGCAGGTAGCGTTCTCCTGGCGTTCGCCAAACCCAGATTTGTCCGTTGGACTTCCAGATGGTGAACCATGTTTCATCACTCCAGAGAACGCGTTTCCACTGCTCCAATGCCGGCGAGCTTTACACCACTCCAGCCGACGCTTGGCATTGCGCATGGTGATCTTAGGCTTGTGTGCGGTTGCTCGACCATGGAAACCCATTTCATGGAGCTGCCAACGAAATTGCTTCCAGAGGCAATTTGGAACTCTGTAGTAGGGCTGTAGCGGTCACGAAATTTAATCAGCCGGTGATTGTCAAGCAAATAACTGTCGGTCTCACAGTAATTGACCGTTAATTAACAAACACATTTAGCATCTCCTGTCTTCCACGCATAGCCTACAAGCCACTGATGTAGACCCTTTGGAACATCTACATTAAAAAAAATATAATAAATCCATGTAATATAGCCTACACCATCACAATAAATCCATTATTTTAGACAGGTCTAAAGAAACATGATATGAAGAAAATGAAGTCTGTTTCAGAATAATGGAATAATAACATATTCTGAGTTGTCCTTATGTTAGGCCCTGATCTAGTTATGCCATATGGCTGTGGGCTACACTAGTTCATTTAGCAGACAAGATTTGGTTATAATCATTTACTTTTTGTCAGCCAACAAGATGAGTAGGCCTAACGAACAGCAAAACCACTAGCCTATGTCAATCTACTATCCCCCATCGTACAAAGGTCGACCTGTTCTGTGTGAGAAAGAAATATTCCAAACATAGTCTGGGACAGTTGTGGGATGTGATAGATCCCAAATTAATACAACCACTAGCATCAAAAAAACGTTTTTTACGCAATGAGGCTGACGCAACAGATCAGAACGTTTACCTTAAAATGTGATTAACTATTCAGCTCTTTTTTTCACATTATAAGCGCAGCAATGCACACACGGCAGTAGGCTATAAGCGCAAATGTTCCATTAGCGGGAAAACAACATTATCAAAAGTGACCATAAATGCGTTTTATGCATTTAATGCTTTTATTATGAAGGTGCATTTTATGGTGAAAATGATCTTCCCCAAACTTGAAACTCACGCGCTGCTTATGTATGCCAGTTAGGCTCTACACCCCTTGTAAAGCGGATTAATGTGCTTGATTTTAAGACGTTATTTGGCAACTTTAGTTGTGATACAAACCTTATCAAAACATATAGGCCTATGGGCTAAGCTACATGATGTGTGACTATGATTAGAAAAAGTCGGGGAAAAAATTGAATTATTTCTTGCCTTACACTGGGCATCATTCACACACAAAATACGTCATCTATGCACTTAAAAAGCTAATGGGGGACGCTTTTCCCGTGGTTTATTTTCATACCAGCCAGGTAGGCTATACTCTTGTTGTAAAGATAAGCGATGTGCTTAGTATTAGGAAAGGTGAGAAATAAATATAGTAGGCCTAGCCTATAGAAAGCTGATGGGATCCTCCTCTTTTTAATAGAAGCCATCACTCTGTTTTCTCACTCAATTGCATAGCCTATAGAAATGTTGCGCAACATGAGCTCATGGGCTGTCATGAAGTGTTTGATAACATTTTCAATTTCATTTGCATTGATGTCAGAGTGATTAGAGGGGCAATAGAGTGCTGAGTACCAGGCAGTTAGCTAGTTTGGTAGGCTACTAATGACCATCAGCAGGATCAGAACTTTGAGAAGCCTAATTACCGAGACAAAACGGTCACGTGGAATTTGACTGCCTTCATGACTCGTAACCGCCTGTCTGGCGGTAATACGGTCACCGCAACATCCCCTTTTTATGTGCTACGTGTTATAGCACTTGGCGGTCCCGTTCTGTGAGCTTGTGTGGCCTACCACTTCGCAGCTGAGCCGTTGTTGCTTCTAGATTTTTCACTTCACAATAACAGCACTTCCAGTTAACCGGGGAAGCTCTAGCAGGGCAGAATTTTGACCAACTGACTTGTTGGGAAGGTGGCATCCTATGACAGTGCCACGTTGAAAGTGAATTGAACAGACGTCGGTCAATTAGTTTATTAACCCTACTGTTCAGCAGCACAGCAGTAGCATAGCACAAAATAATGAACGGAAGTCGATCCTCAACCTCCCACATTTAGAATCGAGTCATTCGAGGTGGGTTGTTCTATTTGTTGTTTCCTGGAAAGAGAGCGGGAGGGCGAGAGAGAGTTGGCCAGTTAGTTGGTCGCTCTTGCTACCTAGCAACTCTTTTCTGCATGCTAATAGTAATCTGTGGTAAAAAGACGACCGGGGAGAGGGATGGAGGGAAAGAACGAGAGGGAGGATAAAATCGATCCCTTTAGCGACTGCCTCAGTAATTGCCTTAAGTCAGCAGGTTTACACATCCTTTAAACTAATTGTTTACTCTGCTCAGTGTTTCTCTGCATTGGTTCAGTGTAGCTTTATATTACTATTATTATTATGAAGGAATAATATTGAATGGTAGCCTAGGCTATACATAACCACATACAGCGGTTAAACATTTGAATCAAATTGATCTAATCCTCTTTCTCTTCCTCCATCTCTCCCTCCCTCCTGTCTTTGATCCCCCTCTCCCTCTTGACTTAGGTATATTGAGTTGTTTGTTAGATGCTGCTATAGGTCTATTGGGACTTTATTTGGGCCATTCTTTATTCATGGCTGTGTTCTTAGGCAGAATTGTGAGTGAGCCCACTCCCTTGGCTGAGAAGCAACCCCACACATGAATGGTCTCAGAATGCTTTACTGTTAACATGACACAGGACTGATGGTAGCGCTCACCTTGTCTTCTCCGGACAAGGTGTTTTCCGGATGCCCCAAACAATCGGAAAGGGGATTCATCAGAGAAAATGACTTTACCCCATTCCTCAGCAGTCCAATCCATGTACCTTTTGCAGCATATCAGTCTGTCCCTGATGTTTTTCCTGGAGAGAAGTGGCTTCTTTGCTGCCCTTCTTGACACCAGGCCATCCTCCAAAAGTCTTCGCCTCACTGTGAGTGCAGATGCACTCACACCTGCCTGCTGCCATTCCTGAGCAAGCTCTGCACTGGTGGTGCCCCGATCCCGCAGCTGAATCAACTTTAGGAGACGGTCCTGGCGCTTGCTGGACTTTCTTGGGCGCCCTGAAGCCTTCTTCACAACAATTGAACCTCTCTCCTTGAAGTTCTTGATGATCCGATAAATGGTTGATTTAGGTGCAATCTTACTAGCAGCAATATCCTTGCCTGTGAAGCCCTTTTTGTGCAAAGCAATGATGACGGCACGTTTTTCCTTGCAGGTAACCATGGTTAACAGAGGAAGAAGAATGATTTCAAGCACCACCCTCCTTTTAAAGCTTCCAGTCTGTTATTCTAACTCAATCAGCATGACAGAGTGATCTCCAACCTTGTCCTCGATAACACTCTCACCTGTGTTAACAAGAGAATCACTGACATGATGGCAGCTGGTGCTTTTGTGGCAGGGCTGAAATACAGTGGAAATATGTTTTGGGGATTAAGTTCAGTTTCATGGCAAAGAGGGACTTAGCAATTAATTGCAATTCATCTGATCACTCTTCATGACATTCTGGAGTATATGCAAATTGACATCATCAGAACTGAGGCAGCAGACTTTGAAAATTAGAATTTGTGTTATTCTCAAAACTTTTGACCACAACTGTAGACCTTACAGTGAAACACTTACTTACAAGCCCTTAACCACCAATGCAATTTTAAGAAAGAATCCCCCCCAAAAACATTAAATAAAAAATTAAGAGATATAAAAGTAACAAATAATTAAAGAGCAGCAGTGAAATAACAATAGCAAGGCTATATACAGGGGGTACCGGTACCGAGTCAATGTGCGGGGGCACCGGTTAGTCGAGGTAATTGAGGTAATAGGTACATGTAGGTAGAGTTATTAAAGTGACTATGCATAGATAATAAACAGAGAGTAGCAGCAGCGTAAAGGGAGGGGGGGAATTTGATTAGCTGTTCAGGAGTCTTATGGCTTGGGGGTAGAAGCTGTTTAGAAGCCTCTTGGACCTAGACTTGGCGCTCCGGTACCACTTGCCGTGCGGTAGCAGAGAGAACAGTCTATGACTTTGGTGGCTATAGTATATGACAATTTTTAGGGCCTTCCTCTGACACTGCCTGGTATAGAGGTCCTGGATGGCAGGAAGCTTGGCCCCAGTGATGTACTGGGCCGTACGCACTACCCTCTGTAGTGCCTTGCGGTCGGAGGCCAAGCAGTTTCATTACCAGGCAGTCATGCAAGCAGTCAGGATGCTCTCGATGGTGCAGCTGTAGAACCTTTTAAGGATCTGAGGACCCATGCCAAACCTTTTCATTCTCGTTCGGGGGAATAGGTTTTGTCGTGCCCTCTTCACGACTGTCTTGGTGTGCTTGGACCATGTTAGTTTGTTGGTTATGTGGACACCAAGGAACTTGAAGCTCTCAACCTGCTCCACTACAGCCCCGTCGATGAGAATGGGGGCGTGCTCGGTATATTATTTTTCCTGTAGTCCACAATCATCTCCTTTGTCTTGATCATGTTGAGGGAGAGGTTGTTGTCCTGGCACCACATGGCCAGGTCTCTGACCTCCTCCCTATAGGCTGTCTTGTCGTTGTCTGTGATCAGGCCTACCACTGTTGTGTCATCGGCAAACTTAATGATGGTGTTTTGAGTCGTGCCTGGCCAAGCAGTCATGAGTGAACATGGAGTACAGGAGGTGACTGAGCACGCACCCCTGAGGGGCCCCCGTGTTGAGGATCAACGTGGCGGATGTGTTGTTACTTACCCTTACCACCTGGGGGCGGCCCGTCAGGAAGTCCAGGATCCAGTTGCAGAGGGAGGTGTTTAGTCCCAGGGTCCTTAGCTTAGTGATGAGCTTTGAGGGCACTATGGTGTTGAACACTGAGCTGTAGTCAATGAGTATCATTCTCACATACAGTTGAAGTCTGAAGTTTACATACACTTAGGTTGGAGTCATTAAATCTCTTTTTTCAACCACTCCACAAATTTATTGTTAACAAACTATAGTTTTGGCAAGTCGGTTAGGACATCTACTTTGTGCATGACAAAAGTAATTTTTCCAACAATTCTTTACAGACAGATTATTTCACTTATAATTCACTGTATCACAATTCCAGTGGGTCAGAAGTTTACATACACTAAGTTGACATTGCCTTTCAACAGCTTTGAAAATTCCAGGAAATGATGTCATGGCTTTAGAAGCTTCGGATAGGCTAATTGACATCATTTGAGTCAATTGGAGGTGTACCTGTGGATGTATTTCAAGGCCTACCTTCAAACTCAGTGCCTCTTTGCTTGACATCATGGGAAAATGAAAAGAAATCAGCCAAGACTTCAGAAAAAAGATTGTAGACCTCCACAAGTCTGGTTCATCCTTGGGAGCAATTTCCAAACACCTGATGGTACCACGTTCATCTGTACAAACAATAGTATGCAAGTATAAACACCATGGGACCACGCAGCCGTCATACCGCTCAGGAAGGAGATGCGTTCTGTCTCCTAGAGTTGAATGTACTTTGGTGCGAAAAGTGTAAATCAATCCCAGAACAACAGCAAAGGACATTTTGAAGATGCTGGAGGAAATAGCTACAGAAGTATCTATATCCACGATAAATCGAGTCCTATATCGACATAACCTGAAAGGCCGCTCAGCAAGGAAGAAGCCACTGCTCCAAAACCGCCATATAAAAGCCAGACTACAGTTTGCAACTGCACATGTGGACAAATATCGTACTTTTTGGAGAAATGTCCTCTGGTCTGATGAAACAAAAATAGAACTGTTTGGCCATAATGACCATCGTTATGTAGCAAGCCGTAGAACACCATTCCAACCGTGAAGCACGGGGGTGTATGTAAACTTCTGACCCACTGGGAATATGATGAAAGAAATAAAAAATTAAATAAATCATTCTCTCTACTATTATTCTGACATTTCACATTCTTAAAATAAAGTGGTGATCCTAACTGACCTAAGACATGGAATTTTTACTAGGATTAAATGTCAGGAATTGTGAAAAACTGATTTTAAATGTATTTGGCTAAGGTGTATGTAAACTTCCGACTTCAACTGTATGTGTAACATTTGTTTTGATTTAGAATTGAGCATTATCATGCACCTGTATCGAAACAGGGGCAGCGGGAAAAGATACATGTCATCTATGCACTTAAATAGCGAATGGAGGACAGTTTTCCCCGTGGTTTATTTTCATGCCAGCCGGGTAAATATAAGCAATGGGCTTAATATTAGGAAAGTTAAGAAATAAATATATTAGCCCTAGCCTACAGAAAGCTGATGGGATCCTCCTCTTTTATTAGCGTCCATCACTCTGTTTTCTCCCGCAATTGCATAGCCTACAGAAATGTTACACAACTTGAGCTCATGGGCTCTCATGAATTGTTTGATCAGATTTTCGAATACATTTGCATTGATGTCAGAGTGCTTAAAGAGACAATAGAGTGCTGAGTACCAGGCAGTTAGCAAGTTTGGTAGGCTATTAATGACCATCGGCAGCATCAGGGCTTGGAGAAGCCTAATTACCGTGACTGAACGTTCATGTGGAATTTGACTGCCTTCATGACTTGTCTGCTGGGTGTGTCAGTAATACGGTCACCGCAACAGCCCTAGTGTCAATGTGTCCATATGGCAGAGGCTGGTGCTCTCGCATTAGTTGAATTTGGACTTTTAGATTTTTATTATTTGTAATACATTACAATGATTTTGAGAAACAAAAACGGTATTATTGAAATGAAACTGTTCCACGAAAATGCGCATATAATAATCGTAACTGGCACGCAGATCGGGAGAAATAGTAGGATAAATTGTAAGCTTCCACAAACTTGAAACTCACGAGAGCTGCCTGAGGTCTTCACTATAACACCCATAAAAAACAATATGTGCACAAGTGCGTGCACACACAGGTCCCGTGAAAAAAAACCTTGCCCCCCCTATGAAAATCGAATGCCCGTCTAACTGATTCGTTCTGGTGCGTGCCCTGGCCTCATGTCCGTTTTGACTGATGATATTGATCTAGTGTAGGCTTCAGGGCAGGAAGTTTCAGCCTAATACAGCACACCACACAGTAGCTATTGCATTTCAGTAACTTGGAACAGCACAGGGCGATCTAGCCATTTTGGCCGCACACAGGTTTTAATGCGTCTATTTATTTGGCATATTTTCATTGATGGGTTGTGGTTACTTTCAGCCAGGCCCTGGATGAAAACCACTGGACTGTAGTGATGGGGTGAAAAAATCGATAGTTACCAATTGGGATATTAGTTTTGACGATATATTGTATCGTTTTGACTATCGCAATATTATTTTTGCGCCAGTTGGCTGTACCTACACCAAAACTCCTGTATTTTTCCTTCATAGCTTATTCTCCATCTTTTTAATTAGGTCACCAATTTGTTTTCAGCACTTTTATTTCCATGGCTGATCAAAACTCACTTTCTCATAGCTCTCTTTTGTCCCTCTGCAGCAGACATATGGTGAGCAGTATGTTTTGACCATGGAATCGCAATACATATAGAATCGTTAGAATCGCAATACATATCGTATCGCCACCTATCGTGATAATATCATATTGTGAGGTCCCTGGCAATTCCCAGCCCGACTGGACAGGAGCGCTGCCCAAGTCTGTAGCCCTGTCTAGTGTTGGATGTCTGGGGGAGAGAGGGGGGTAGCAGGAGGCCTGGCTGGATGGATGGAGGGCTGGAGGAAGGGAGAGGGAGGAAGGGAAGGACGTAGCATGCTGGCTGGCTGGATGGATGGATGGATGGATGGATGGTGTCCTCTCCATTCTAATCATCCTGTCTTTCCCCACGGGCTGCAGTCTGGCTCAGGCATTCCTGGAAAACTCCTAGATGGATGGATGTGTGGAGGGAGGGAGTGGGAGGCATCTCCACATCAACCACATAAACAGAAGCCTACTGTATTAGCTAGCTTTGTGAGATACATTATAAGGGCCATGTGTTTTTAACTAGCAGTGTTTGGAGAAGTATTAAGGTATTTGGTGAATGCTCTTGGCTACATTGGCGCAGCATGTGGAAAGTAGGGAATAAGGCTGATGTATTGGGCTCACGCTGGGCTGAGTAGGCTACCAGCTGTCCATATGCGAGTGTAGGACCCCGGAAAGGGAAGTTCACCTCCCTATCTGTCGAGGTTTACGAGTTAGCTCCTCAGACCTCACTCCTCCTCCCTCTCTCTGTGTCCTCAATCTGCTTAGTTCAGGGTTCACTTGGAACAGATCTGCTGCAGCCTGCACCAGTTAGCTTATTCACCAACATAACACAGAACAGAGCAGTGTGTGTGAGGGAGTCAACCATCTGTACCAGGGTTTCCGTTAGCCAGTAATAGCTATTCATATTATGTACAGTGCTTTCGGAACGTATTAAGACCCTTTTACTTTTTCCACATTTTGTTAGGTTATAGCCTTATTCTAAAATTGCTTAAATATTTTTTTTCCTCATCGATCTACTCACAATACCACATAATGACGACGCAAAAACAGGTTTTTTGAAATTGTCATGTGCCTTTTACTGAGGAGTGGTTTCCGTCTGGCCACTCTACCATAAAGGCCTGATTGGTGGAGTGCTGCAGAGATGGTTGTCCTTCTGGAAAGTTATCCCAGCTCCACAGAGGACCTCTAGAGCTCTGTCAGAGTGACCATCGGGTTCTTGGTCACCTCCCTGACCAAGGCCCTTCTCCCCAGACTGCTCAGTTTGGCAGGGCGGCCAGCGCTAGGAAGAGTCTTGGTGGTTCCAAACTTCATCCATTTAAGAATGATGGAGGCGACTGTGTTCTTTGGGACCTTCAATGCTGCAGATATCTTTTGGTACCTTCCCCAGATCTATGCCTTGACACTATCCTGTCTCGGAGCTCTATGGACATTTCCTTCGACCTCATTGCTTGGTTTTTGCTCTAACATGCACTGTCAACCGTGGGACCTTATATAGGCAGGTGTGTGCCTTTCCAAATCATGTCCAATCAATTGAATTTACCACAGATTGATTCCAATGAAGTTGTAGAAACATCTCACGGATGATCAAGAAAACAGGATGCACTTCAAGTCTCATAGCAAAGGGTCTGAATACTTATGTAAATAAGGTATTTTTGTTTTATTTTTAATACATTAGCAAAAATGTCTAAAACCCTGTTTTTGCTTTGTCATTATGGGCTATTGTGTGCATATTGCTGAGGATTTGTATTTATTTAATACATTTTAGAATAAGGCTCTAATGTAACAAAATGTGGAAAAAGTCAAGTGGCACTATCTTATTTATCACACGCGTACAGGTACATATTTTCCACTCAAAAGGCTCTGTCAGACAGCACGAGAGCCGCTGCTACAGCATCTCAAACAGCATGTGCATAGGCAACGGAAGACAGGCTTCATCAGCAGGTCACACACCACTTTGCAATGAGCTGGAGGCAGTATGCGTTTAACTATATATATATATATATATATATATATATATATATATATATATATATATATATATATATATATATACACACACACACAGTGGGGGAAAAAAGTATTTAGTCAGCCACCAATTGTGCAAGTTCTCCCACTTAAAAAGATGAGAGAGGCCTGTAATTTTCATCATAGGTACACGTCAACTATGACAGACAAAATGCGGAAAAAAAATCCAGAAAATCTCATTGTAAGATTTTTAATGAATTTATTTGCAAATTATGGTGGAAAATAAGTATTTGGTCAATAACAAAAGTTTCTCAATACTTTGTTATATACCCTTTGTTTGCAATGAAACAGGTCAAACGTTTTCTGTAAGTCTTCACAAGGTTTTCACACACTGTTGCTGGTATTTTGGCCCATTCCTCCATGCAGATCTCCTCTAGAGCAGTGATGTTTTGGGGCTGTCGCTGGGCAACATGGACTTTCAACTCCCTCCAAAGATTTTCTATGGGGTTGAGATCTGGAGACTGGCTAGGCCACTCCAGGACCTTGAAATGCTTCTTACGAAGCCACTCCTTCGTTGCCCGGGCGGTGTGTTTGAGATCTTTGTCATGCTGAAAGACCCAGCCACGTTTCATCTTCAATGCCCTTGCTGATGGAAGGAGGTTTTCACTCAAAATCTCACGATACATGGCCCCATTCATTCTTTCCTTTACACGGATCAGTCGTCCTGGTCCCTTTGCAGAAAAACAGCCCCAAAGCATGATGTTTCCATCCCCATGCTTCACAGTAGGTATGGTGTTCTTTGGATGCAACTCAGCATTCTTTGTCCTCCAAACACGACGAGTTGAGTTTTTACCAAAAAGTTCTATTTTGGTTTCATCTGACCATATGACATTCTCCCAATCCTCTTCTGGATCATCCAAATGCACTCTAGCAAACTTCAGACGGGCCTGGACGTACTGGCTTAAGCAGGGGGACACGTCTTGCACTGCAGGATTTGAGTCCCTGGCGGCGTAGTGTGTTACTGATGGTAGGCTTTGTTACTTTGGTCCCAGCTCTCTGCAGGTCATTCACTAGGTCCCCCCGTGTGGTTCTGGGATTTTTGCTCACCGTTCTTGTGATCATTTTGACCCCACGGGGTGAGATCTTGCGTGGAGCCCCAGATCGAGGGAGATTATCAGTGGTCTTGTATGTCTTCCATTTCCTAATAATTGCTCCCACAGTTGATTTCTTCAAACCAAGCTGCTTACCTATTGCAGATTCAGTCTTCCCAGCCTGGTGCAGGTCTACAATTTTGTTTCTGGTGTCCTTTGACATCTCTTTGGTCTTGGCCATAGTGGAGTTTGGAGTGTGACTGTTTGAGGTTGTGGACAGGTGTCTTTTATACTGATAACAAGTTCAAACAGGTGCCATTAATACAGGTAACGAGTGGACAGAGGAGCCTCTTAAAGAAGAAGTTACAGGTCTGTGAGAGCCAGAAATCTTGCTTGTTTGTAGGTGACCAAATACTTATTTTCTACCATAATTTGCAAATAAATTCATAAAAAATCCTACAATGTGATTTTCTGGATTTTTTTTCCTCTATTTGTCTGTCATAGTTGACGTGTACCTATGATGAAAATTACAGGCCTCTCTCATCTTTTTAAGTGGGAGAACTTGCACAATTGGTGGCTGACTAAATACTTTTTTTCCCCACTGTATATATATATTTTTTTTACCAGAATTTTTTATTATGAGGCATGTCTTACCTTTCTTCAAAGTAGCCTAGCCAAAATCAGACCATATCCGTGGAGGCTATAATTTTTTCATCAACTTTCTTTCATTGTCCAGTAGCCAAACGCACAATCCGAGTTATATTAGCAACCCATGCTAGTTGTTTAAAATTAGATCTCCTTTCTAAATGTCTTTTTACATCTCTGTCACATGAAACTGTTCTCATGTGTGCTGTGCTTTTGACAACAGTATTTTCCCGCTAATTGCATTATGGATCAAACATTTCCGCTTAGTCTACTGCCTTGTACGCATTGCTGCACTTATAATGTGAAGAAATAATAGTTTATCAACATGTTAAGCTAAACGTTCTGATCTATTGCGTCAGACTCTTGCTTTTTACCGTTTTTTTGGGGGGGGGGGGTGTTGCCTAGGATCTATCATCCCAGAGCTGTCCCAGAGTCTTTCTGGAATAGGCTATTTCTTTCTCGACCAATATTTGCTGTTCGTGACTCGTCTTTTTGGCTGAGGAAAAGTAAATGTGGACAGTTATTCTAACATCTTCAAAGTGCGCATCAGAATTCGATAAAAAGGGCCGCGCATCGTTGCATCCTCAACTTTTATGCTCTGTTAATATGAATTACCATAATCTAAAGGGGATTTCTGTCATTCTGAGCACCGTGGGTGGACGCCCTAATCAGGTTACTTATAAATGTCCGGTAAATTAAAATGCCGCCTGTCAAATGTCCTGGTGAAACCCTGATCTGTACACAAGCCAGTGTGCGAAACCCTGATCTATTTCTCTCCCCCCGGTGTGTGTTTGTGAGAGAGCTGAGCTCCTTAAATGCACAGACACAGATAATTGGGGAAGGAAGCGGGGTGATATAGCCTAGAGAGAGAGAGAGGTGTGTGTGTTCGGCAGGCAGGAAGGGGGGTACTACAGAAAGTAGTCTTGGTGACAGAGCCTGTTGCCATGGAGCTGGGCCTCCCATTGGTGGTGGCCTGGGCCAATCACATGGCAGCACAGTCTGTTTCATCATTGAGAATTTATTTCTCTGCCATTTCTCTCTCTCCCCCTCTCTCCCCCTCTCTCTCATCACTCACTCATTCACTCACTGCTCCCCCTTCCTAAACTAGAAAAAGTGCAGAAATTACATAAGATCTGTAATGGGAGCGGGAATAGCTTCTGATGTTTGTCTTGACACATTTATATGTTGTGTGAGTGAATGAAAATGTAGCAACCGATCCGTTGCATGCAGCATCTGTTTGAATGAGGCTAAGCAAGATACACATTCATTGGCACAGACTTATGATAGATTTCAACATCATGTGTAGCCTAGTACTACCATCATGCAACATGTAGCCGAACTCCAGTGCGTGTAACTCCAATGGTATTTCAGTGTCTTGAATCATCTGCCCGTTTGTTAGAAAATGTGAATGTAAAGACTTGTGGACGTGAATTGATGCTGCATGGTGGAGTCCGCCGTCTGTGAGTAGCAGTGCTGAGAGGTGACTCATACAGTTGTTTTGGGCTTAGGCTACATCCCATCCCAGTAACACACTCATCTGCACTAGTGTTAACACACTCTTAGGTGTACTTGTGACTTGGCCTGACTCCTTATATTCTAATGATAATGATGAACGATATTGACAAGTGTGGCTGAAAATAGTTGTGAGGTAGGCAGAAGGCTAGTGGGTCATAAAGAAGTGCTCTCATGGTAGTGTCTGTGTGTGTCTTCTGTTGTCTCATGATGACTTGTCTTACTGCTGTATGATAAGGAAGGTTTAACCCCTGTCTTTCTCTCGCTCGCTCCCCAGCCCACATTCCAGCACTCCTTCCCTCATCAATAATGGATAGAAAGATCACAATCCCCTCTTCCTTTCTTTCTCGCCGCTCTGTCGTTCATAATGAATGAATGAGGGAGGGGTGACATCCTGGCCAACACCTTTGTTCTTACGCTCCATCTCTTCATGTCACTCTCTCGCTTTCTCTCCCCCCCTCCCTCTCTCTCTCGCTTTCTCTCCCCCCTCCCTCTCTCTCTCAATCCTGACCTGCCACACACACTCTTTCCTCTTCTGTGTCATAGAGGATACCCCTGCTCTGCCCCTCCTCCTCTCTCCCTCCGCCTCTCTTCTCTGCAGTGTTGTTTTTTTCTTCTCTTCCTCTTTTAATGTCTTCTCTTAAATTGTCAGCCTGCTGACGCCATCCTCCTCCTCTCTGCTCAGCCCACTCACTCCTGTGGGACACGCTCAGCTCTGACTCATTCGCTCCCTCCCTCCCTCCATCTCCCTCCCTCCCTCCCTCCCTCCCCCTCCCTCCCTCCCTCCCTCCCTCCCTCCATCTCCCTCCCTCCCTCCCTCCGTCTCCATCTCCCTCCCTCCGTCTCCATCTCCCTCCCTCCCTCCCTTTGTCTCTCTCTCCCTCCCGCCATCACTCTCTCCCTCCATCACTCTCTCCATCCCTCCATCTCTCTTTCTCCTTCCATCTCCCCCTCTCGTCTCTCTCTTTCTGAGACACACACTCACCCTCCTATCGCTGTCCCATTTTCTCACTATTTCTCTTTTCGTTCTCTTTCTTTGCCCCTTTCTCTCACTATCTCTCTCTCTCTCTAGGTTCCCTCCGTCTGTTTGACAGGACATGTTGCTTTTCTAACCCTTCTCCTACAATTTCCGCGGCCCTTTGGAAATGTGATTAAAATCCCCATCAAAATCTGTCTAAGCAAGAGAGATGGTTTTTTTTTTGCATGGGCTGCGCATCTGCGGTGAAAGGTGGCAGAGCTAGATGTTTTCGTAACTGTTTGGCCTACAAACTATTATGAGACTAAAGATGAGACTCTCACGAAGTCATGAGACAGATATTAACATTTTTCACACTAATCATCTATGAGGGACTTTGTTGAGCTTGTCAATCAATTTGAGATACTTTCGGGTTGATTTGGACATGCGCGAAAAATGCTAATATCGGTCCAGTGAATTGAATGGGATTAGTGCCACAAATGCTAAAACGTTAGCATTAAAACAATTTTTTTACATTTTCGTCATTTAGCAGACGCTCTTATCCAGAGCGACTTACAAATTAGCATGTGGAAATAGTGCCAGGGAAACTAAACCAAAGTATGGATTGCTGTCATACCTTGTCCATAGACTGCTTGCAGGGTAAGGAAAACAATATAATTTTGAAATTTGAGTTAACTATCCCTTTAAAGGATGCTGTGTAGGCTATTGTTAATTATTGCAAATGTCTAGTGTTGACCATTGAGACCATTTATGTCTTTTTGAAGTTTGAGCCCTGCTCCACCGATGATGCTATAGTTTGTACCATACTGTTGGCACTTGGCAGGCTGCAGGCAAAATAGAGACAGTGAACTGGACAAAGCTTGCCGGGCTTCTCACAGAACCGGGCCAGTAGTGCAATTGTGTTTGTGCTAATGTGTGTGCGGGCGCTGGCACTGCCATGTGTAGATTTGTGTGCGTTAGATGGACAATTAGAAAGCTGTTATGTGATGTGGATGATTGGTGTCTCTTCCTGCTCTCCTCGGCTCTGTTCTCTGCAATCCACATATTTATTTATAAAATCATCCTTCTTCCTGTCTCTCTCTCGCTCGCTCTATCCCTCATTCTCTCGCTCTCTCGACACCAATGGCAGCAGCTGATAATTACGTCACCGTCTCCCTGGCAACTCTGAGCCTGTGAAAAAGGGAGGAAAAGCAGAGGGAGAGAGAGGAAATGGTAGCTGAGAATGGGCTGGCTGGCGTTGCCCGGTTCATTCATAGGCGCCTCAATTTCACACTCATTCAGTTTTTCTGGCAGAGAGCGAGAGCTAAGTGTGTGTTTTAGCACAGAATGTCCCCCATCTCCTCTGCCCCTCAGAGCCACAGTCTCTCAGCCATGTTGTTCTCCACACTAAGAATTACACATTTGTTCTGCTCAGACCTTATCTAGTCATTTTGATAATGTTGACGTGTGTGTTTGTGTGTGACTGTGTGTGTGTGTGAGAGAGTTTTGCAGCGTGTCTGTGTCTCCCTGTCTCTCTGCGTAGGCTGTTCAGTGGTGCAGAGTTGTATAAGCCGGGACTCCTCAGCGCTGAGTGCAGTTGGTTGGCATTCATCCGTGTGCGTGCCCTGGTCATTGATGCTGTGCGGCGCTGCTGTTGCCTCAGTGATGACGATCTTGCTGTGCCTGGGTCCTCCCCTGCTGTGGGAATCCCTGCATGCCATACTGCCTCCTCTCCTCTCTGCTGCAGCCACACACACACACACACACACACACACACACACACACACACACACACACACACACACACAGGCTTCTGATGATGCCGGAGGAAACTGTGTTAAGCTGAAGAGTGTGTTTGTGGGACAGATGGACAGTTTCTCAAAGCTTCCGGTGTTAGTCTGCCTAGCTGTGTTTTTGTTGTCGAGTAGTGAGAGCGCCGCCTGTCCTGAAGGTGTTAGCAGTATGTTGTCATGTTAACGTTAGTGGAGTGTTTTGTTTATGAGTGGGAGCGAGAAACATGCCGTCTCACCTGTGTCAAAACCTAAAGTTTCTGAAAACAAATACTTTTTCAGCCCAGGTCTGCAAGTGGTCATTCATGCATTGGCTGAATTCATACTTCCACAGTCAGCCCTATAGCCTACTCATCCCACGCTTTGAGCTGTGAGTCAGACTGGACCCAGTCAGAGAGCCGGTGTGTTGTAACTGTTGGTGACGTCATTCTGTCTTCCTGTTTTCCCCAGGGGTCCTGGCTGGTGGAACTATCTTCAACATGCTGCTGCACTGAGACTCACAGACAGACAGACGGAAGGATAGACGGACAGACAGACTGATAGACCCATTCAGCGGGTGTTCCCCCCCCCCCCCCCCTCCCCCCTCCTCCCACTCCTTCCCCGTGTCAGCTGTTTCTCCCCACAGCTACCTCCTCCCTGTACAGAACTTGCTATGGAATGCCCTCACCCAGCAGACGGGCACAGTCCTCTTTAGGACCCTCTCCTGGGTACTCACTCCATAAGGAATCAGCACAGCTGATCACAGAATCAGGTACTGTTCACTGTATACATTAACTACATTGTCTGTGTCTCCTGATTCCTACCATGTTTAGGGTTTTCCTTGGCCCTATACTGCATTGAAACTCAGGACCATTTAACGGATCTATCCTCTCTCTCTCCTCATCTTAAAGTAGTCTCTGGATCCTCCTACCCTCCACCCTTTCCTGAGAAGATGTCTGTGAGCCTGGCTGGGGAGGATATCCAGATGGAGGGTGAGAGTGGAAGTAGTGGAGTGCTCAATGAGATCAATGATGACTCCAGCAACAGAGGGAAGCTTTCCCCATCCCCTGAGCCCTGCCAGGGGAAAGAGGGCAATGGGGGCACTGGGGAGGGCATGGAGGCAGAGGAGAGTGCCACACATGACTCACAGGTAACTGACCTCCAGGCGACTTTCGTTGCATCCCAATAATCTCTCCTTTCTCCCGAAGTGTGAACTTGTTCACTTTTCTTAATGGATTTGAAAGGAAATGACTGGTATATGGAAATGACTGGTATATGGAAATGACTGGTATATGGAAACTCTAGTCCATGCCAACATCATTAAATGTGTGGGCAGTAGTGAACGAGTGCACACTTCAGGAGGAAGGCAAGATTATTGGGAAGCACCCTTTGCCTCCTCGGCACTGCACTAGAGTTGCAATTTCTGGAAAGGTTTTTAAGGAATACTACAGTCCAGAATTGAATGTCTATGAATTTTGTGGCTGTTTAGATTACGACATATTCATCCATTTTATATTGGGATGACAAAGTATATTTTCGCTGACATGGGCTCAAAATAAACTGCACTGAGAGGTATTTTTCAGCTCTGTTTGAACTTAATCTCCCATCATGCATTGCGTCGTTGCTTACGGTCATGATGCGTGTGCTGCAAGCATACGAAAGGAGTGTAGTGGGGGTGGTTTGGAGGGGTTGGATGTGGTTATGGTTGAGACAAATTGCCCCTTCTTTGGAATGACTGTCATTAAAACATTACAAACAAATTGCATGTTATCTTCATGCCTTGCTTGAATATTGAATTTGAAGCAGAGGTGTCTATCTAGCTAGCTCGATTCACTGTAGTTAGCTGCTACTTGCTTCGTCTGGCTGATTAGCTAGCTAGCGACTATGCTGTTACCAGCCAAGCACTCCAAACTAGTTAGATAACAGGTTAGACTGCATAACTACATATAACATGGCATATCATCATTTTAGTTTGCAAGAGTATCTAGCTAGTTGTGTTTCTGCTTGCTGGATGCAGGCAGCTGACTAGTAGTGCCTGCTTGTGCTAGCTAGCAGCATAGCTAGCCATTGTTAGCGAGCCACATGGTCCAGTCAAAAGTAGCTAACTAGCTTGAAGCTAGCTAGCTAGTTTGTTGAAACAGTAAAATATAGCTAGCTGTGCTTCTAGTTTCAAACATTATCTACATCTTAATGTAGTAGAAATTTCAGGTGTACAGTACTTTATCAGCAACGTTATATTCCATTTTGTGCAAATCCAGTGGTTTCCCCTACCAGCTGTGCTTGGCGGGCTACACAGAGAAGCAGAACTGGTAGGCAGAAACCACTGGATTTGCACAAAATGGAATATAAGGTTGCAGATAAAGTTAGTAATTACACAATGTCATGTGTACAACATCCAAAGACCTGCATCACTATACTGAGAGCTTTGCCGTTTCTAAAAGGACGTATTTGGGTGTTTTTGGAGCCTTTGTTCATGTTGTTCCTGAGCCCCCGTACTGCAGAACGAGCAATGAGAAAGTATATTCCGGGTGCGGTAAGTATGTCAAAACCAAGTGAAATCGCAAAAAAAAATGGCTTCTGGACCCTTCTATAACATGCCATTTACATCAACAATAGAGATTTGGTTCTAAAATAGTGAACCAATCCTTTCAAAACGAAATGTTTTTTTCCCCCACTAAAATACGGTTTTCACATAAACGTTATTTAACATTGTAAATCATAGGAAATAGTCGTTTTGAGTGTAGCTAGTATTCTTAGTATTACCACATTTTCTCCCCTTGCAGAGAAGGGCTCAGAACCACGGCCATGGGAGGAAAAGGGCCAGGGTAAGAACTGCATTATTCTGTCTGTTGCATTGTTGTTGTTGGTGTAAGTTTGCATATCATGATCCCAATCCAGTCCACCCGTTAGAAAGGGTCATTCTTACTAGCCCTAGTATCCCCAGAGTTCGTTCATCTTAGTGAGCAGGTTAGATAGACCAGGAGAATTCGCAGAGGTGAGGCCTGCCAATCCATGAGCTCAGCTTACCTAGTGTATTTATGGAAGTCAGCTTTTGTGTGTGTGCACTCAGTTTACATGCTAATAGGATAAAACATGTTCTCTTACCTTGCATCTAATTTCTGTCCACACACACACACACACACCTTGCAGCTGGGTCTTTGCAGCAAAACCACACTCCCTCTGTCTGTCACGACTTAATTTCTAGTGTAGGCTTCATCATGACATCATCTTCTCTCTCACTAGATAGGGACGATGCCAAGTGAGCTAGCCCTTCCACCAAATGAAATCCTTCCCAACGTTTGGATAATGAAGTCTATACATCTCAAAACGATCATATGCATGTCTGCTAGCGCTGAGCTATTTAGTGCTTTTTGTGTTTGGGAACACCAATCAATCAATTAGATGTATTGTCGGATAGACGTACAGTGCATTCGGAAAGTATTCAGACCCCTTCTCTTTTTCCACATTTTGTTACAGCCTTATTTTAAAATTGATTAAATAAAAATTTTTCCCTCATCAATCTACACACAATACCCCATAATGACAAAACAAAAACAGGTTTTTAGAAAGCAATCGTGGGAGAAGTGCTTTGGTCAGGGAGGTGACCAAGAACCTGATGGTCACTCTGACAGAGCTCCAGAGTTCCTCTGTGGAGATGGGAGGACCTTCCAGAAGGACAACGAACTCTGCAGCATTCCACCAATCAGGCCTTTATGGTAGAGTGGCCAGACGGAAGCCACTCCTCAGTAAAAGGCACATGACAGCCCGCTTGGAGTTTGCCAAAAAGCACCTAAAGGATTCTGACCGTGAGAAACAAGATTCTCTGGTCTGATGAAACCAAGATTGAACTCTTTGGTCTGAATGGCAAGCATCACGTCTGGAGGAAGCCAAGCACCATCCCTACGGTGAAGCATGGTGGTGACAGCATCATGCTGTTGGGATGTTTTTCAGCGTCAGGGACTGGGAGACTAATCAGGATCGAGGGAAAGATGAACGGAGCAAAGTACAGAGAGATCCTTGATGAAAACCTGCTCAGGACCTCAGATTGGGGTGAAGGTTCACCTTCCAACAGGACAACGACCGTAAGCACACAGCCAAGACGACGCAGGAGTGCCTTCGGGACAAGTCTCTGAAGGTCCTTGAGTGGTCCAGGCAGAGGCCTGACTTGAACCCGATCTAACACAATTTAATCAATTTTAGAACACGGCTGTAACTTAACAAAATGTGGGAAAAAGTGAAGGGGTCTGAATACTTTCCGAATGCACTGTACCTAAGCAACTGTCTATCCCTCTCATTCATGAAGCTTTTTGTCACTCCTTTCCTCTCTGTGTCTGTCTGCTGGCCCCACAGGCTTGCCCAGGCAAGAACCAATAAGAACAGGCAGCTAGGTGCAATGGATTCTGGTCATTGTAGTTAATCACCACGTTTTATGCGCTAAACTATGAATATTGGCCTTTTGAAAACTACACCTTCCTGCAATGTCAGTTTATGCTTGGTTTGATTTCTACAGAAACGGCACGTTGAGCTCACAAAAAAAAGAACTAAATGGAATTCAAATAATTGAGCCGACGTACACTACCGTTCAAAAGTTTGGGGTCACTTGAAAATGTCCTTGTTTTCGAAAGAAAAGCAATTTTTTTCTCCATTAAAATAACATCAAATTGATCAGAAATACAGTGTAGACATTGTTAATGTTGTAAATGGCTATTGTGGCTGATTTTTTAAAATGGAATATCTACATAGGTGTACAGAGGCCCATTATCAGCAACCATCAGTCCTGTGTTCCAATGGCAAGTTGTATTCGCTAATCCAAGTTGATCATTTTAAAAGACTAATTGATCATTAGAAAACCCTTTTGCAATTATGTTAGCACAGCTGAAAACTGTTGTGCTGATTTAAAGAAACAATAAAACTGGCGTTCTTGAGACTAGTTGAGTATCTGGAACATCAGTAATTGTGGGTTCGATTACAGGCTCAAAATGGCCAGAAACGAAGACATTTCTTCTGAAACCCGTCAGTCTATTCTTGTTCTGAGACGCCTATTCCATGTGAGAAACTGAAGATCTCGTACAACGCTGTGTACTACTTCTTCACAGAAGAGCGCAAACTGGCTCTAACCAGAATAGAAAGATGCACAACTGAGCAAGAGGACAAATACATTAGTGTCTAGTTTGAGAAACAGACGCCTCACAGGTCCTCAACTGGCAGCTTCATTAAATAGTACCCGCAAAACACCAGTCTCAGCGTCAACAGTGAAGAGGATGCTGACCTTCTAGGCAGAGTTGCAAAGAAAAAGCCATATCTCAGACTGGCCAATAAAAAGAAAAGATTAAGATGGGCAGTCTTTTTTTTTGCAACACTGCCTTTAAGGTCAGCATCCCGGAGTCGCCTCTTCGCTATTGACATTGAAACAGGTGTTTTGCAGGTACTGTTTAATGAAGCTGCCAGTTGAGGACCTGTGAGGCGTCTGTTTCTCAAACTAGACACTCTAATGTACAGTTGTGGTCAACATTTTTGAGAATGACACACATTAATTTATTTTCTCTGATGAATCCCCTTTCCGATTGTTTGGGGCATCCGGAAAAAAGCTTGTCCGGAGAAGAAAAGGTGAGCGCTACCATCAGTCCTGTGTCATGCCAACAGTAAAGCACCCTGAGACCATTCATGTGTGGGGCTGCTTCTCAGCCAAGGGAGTGGGCTCACTCACAATTTTGCCTAAACACAGCCATGAATTTAGAATGGTACCAACACATCCTCCGAGAGCAACTTCTCCCAACCATCCAAGAACAGTTTGGTGACGAACAATGCCTTTTCCAGCATGATGGAGCACCTTGCCATAAGGCAAAAGTGATAACTAAGTGGCTCGGGGAACAAAACATGGACATTTTGGGTCCATGGCCAGGAAACTCCCCAGACCTTAATCCCATTGAGAACTTGTGGTCAGTTAATTGACAGCATGCCAGGGCAGATTGTAGAGGTCTTGAAAAAGAAGGGTCAACACAGCAAATATTGACTCTTTGCATAAACTTAATGTCATTGTCAATAAAAGCCTTTGACACTTATGGAATGCTTGTAATTATACTTCAGTATACCATAGTAACATCTGACAAAAAATATCTAAAAACACTGAAGCAGCAAACTTTGAAGACCAATACTTGTGTCATTCTCAAAACTTTTGACCACGACTGTATTTGTCCTCTTGCTCAGTTGTGCACCAGGGCCTCCCACTCCTCTTTCTATTCTGGTTAGAGCCAGTTTGCTCTGTTCTGTGAAGGGAGTAGTAAACAGCGTTTGGCGAGATCTTCAGTTTCTTGGCAATTTCTCGCATGGAATAGCCTTCATTTCTCAGAACAAGAATAGACTGACGAATTTCAGAAGAAAGTTATTTGTTTCTGGCCATTTTGAGCCTGTAATCGAACCCGCAATTGCTGATGCTCCAGATACAGTGAGGGGAAAAAAGTATTTGATCCCCTGCTAATTTTGTACGTTTGCCCTCACTGTACTCAATTAGACTCAAGAAGGCCAGTTGTATTGCTTCTTTAATCAGCACAACAGTTTTCAGCTGTGCTAACATAATTGCAAAAGGGTTTTCTAATGATCAATTAGTCTTTTAAAATGATCAACTTGGATTAGCGAATACAACTTGCCATTGGAACACAGGACTGATGGTTGCTGATAATGGGCCTCTGTACGCCTCTGTAGATATTCCATTAAAAATCATCCGTTTCCAGCTACAATAGCCATTTACAACATTAACAATGTCTACACTGTATTTATGATCAATTTGATGTTATTTTAATGGACCAAAAATGTTTGCTTTTCTTTCGAAAACAAGGACATTTCTAATGGACCCCAAACTTTTGAACGGTGGTGTAAATAAGCCGACATTTCGGCTAACCGCTCAGCACTGTCTGCATGCAGCTTCTTTACGCTACAATATTTAATATATGTTGTCAAATATTTACAGTGTGCAATGTGTTTGGTCTATAAGTTTCTCCATTCATGTGTGTGTAATAGTCCAATGCCAAGCTGAAGCTGGTGAGGAGCCTGGCGGTGTGTGAGGAGTCATCAGGTCCGTTCTGTACTGACGGACCTCCAGACCAGGACATCATCCAGCTACCACATCAGCTGCCCATCAGACAAGGAGGAGGAGAAGTCCTGTAAGGATGAGAATGAGGAAATGAACACGGACAAGACTCCACGCAAGATGCTTTCACGAGGTAAGCTGCTTTCCTAGAAAGAAAAAAAAGTTATCCATACAATGAATAATCGGTTCAGGAGTTAGGGTTTTTGAAAGGGAGAGCTGAAGAGGGATATGCAGGGAGTATTTGTATTATTATTATTATTATTATTATTATTATTGTTAGGGAAAGGGTGTGTAAAAAAACGATCTGCCATTCGTGTGTGTTCAGAAACAACACACTGTGAGCCAAGCAGTCTTCCAGCCTTTCTGCTGCTAGACTCTGACCCCTCTGACCGTGTGTGTGCCTGCACACGAGCGTGATGTGTACGCTAGCGTGGTGTTTGTGTGTAGCAGAAAAGAGTTGACATAGAAACGATCCTCTAAGTGCGTTCAGAAACAACACACCCTCTCTGACCCCTCTGACCGATACTTTGTGTGTGTGTGGATGCTCCTGATTGCGTGCGTGCGGTTTGCAGATGGTGCGTGTGTGTGGTGTCATTTCTGGAGGTATGTTAAGCCTTCTGTCTCTTTCCCTTCCAGACTCCAGCCAGGAGTACACAGACTCCACCGGTATCGACGTGCATGAGTTCCTGGTCAACACACTGAAAAACAACCCCAGGTAACACACACACACACACACACACACACACACACACACACACACACTTAAAAACAACACGAGGTATGGCAAGGGAGCCTTATTGATCTCCTATCACAGCCACAACACTCAATGGCATCTAGATGTAGTCTGTGGCCATCTGAGCCTGTAGTTCTACCAGTAATGGAAATGGATTGAGAAACTCTGCTCTCTAAGGGCCGAATCTTAATTTGAGATTTCCGTGAGCAACTCAAGTTTTCTTCTAACTCAAATCTTCTATCATCAATGCATGATTTAAGTGAAAATCCAAGTTAAGTGCACAGATCTCAAGTTGGGTTCTGGCTCTAAGCGAATGCTGCTGCAGCTGTAGTAATCCTGTGGTGGTCTGGACTACAGTAGCTGCCTAGCCTCTGTGAGGACGGATTGCTGAAGTATTCACTGCGATGAAATGAGCCTTTTGATCTTTGTATGAGTAGTTGGAACTCTCTTTCTCTCTCCCTCTCTTTCTCTCCAACAGGGATCGAATGATGCTGCTGAAACTAGAACAAGATATCCTGGAGTTTATTAATGACGACAAGTGAGTGAGACACATTCCCTATATATAGTACACTAAAGTAGCGCACTACAAAGGGAAGAGGATGTCATTTGGGACGCCTACACATTCTCTACTACAACTCAACTCACTCTACTTACATTTTAGCTTTCTATGTCTGTCCGTCACAGTATATTTATTGATGGTATATTGTGCTGTAGTTGGTATATCAGTATGGAAAATCAGCCTGCAACTCTGTGTCCCCCTGTCGATGGGATGGTATCCAGGGTTGGAAATGAACACCTGCCAAATGCGGGTAGATTTTGTCATTGGCGGGTAAGAATGTATATTTTACCATCCACGCTGGCGGCTGGTCACACGGACCATTTGGGAACAGTTTTATTTTTATTTTTTTTATAATCCAAAGGCCACATGTAGAAGAAGTTGGTCAAATTGACAAGTAAGGCTACTAAAATGGGACTTTGTCCTCGTGTTTCATGGCCAGTTACATTGTTTTGTTCACATGCTAGGTTGTTGTTCAATGTTAGTTTGAGTTTGCTGCAACTGTCTGCTGCTAGGAAGACATCACAGTCTAAGATTTTTTTAAATCACAGACAAGCGAGTGCCCAAGTTACCATGGTAACTGCCCGTCCCTTAAAGGGGCAGGTGAAAATGTTTGGTCTCACCTAATTATTGTGCTTGATTTAGCATGGATCACTCCTAAAAACTTTTATTCATGAACTTTTTTAGTAATTTCTTATCATTAAAACACTCAAATACTTTTGTTCTCCTAGATGTATTTGTGTGCTTCTATATTTCTACTCGGGAGCACATTATGTACTCCTTGTAAAAAATGTCCGCGTAAATAAACCATATCACTCAGCCTTTTGTGGCAGGGTAGGCACTTTGTTGATTCTTGATGTTCAGTTGTAGAACTGTTTCTATTTTTACTATTGTATCTAAATTATTTATTTTAACGTACTTTGGTTAAAAGACACAGGTCACAAAAAATTTACCACATTACTACTTACTAGTAATACATTTATTGTTTTAGAAAAACAGAAAGCATGGTCATCCGTATTTTTTTTGTGTGTAAAAAAATCAGTGACTGGTAGATTTTTTTTATTTTTTTCTATCTACCTGTCACAGTGGCTGGTGGACCAAAAAGTACATTTTCCAGCCTGATGGTATCCTTACTCTCATCTAAAGTTTATTTTGTTGTGCGTGATTATCTATTTTATTTTGTGGACTATTGTGTCATCTTCTCCTCTCCCCTCTAGTAACCAGTACAAGAAGTTCCCCCAGATGACATCGTACCACCGCATGCTGCTGCACCGTGTAGCTGCCTACTTTGGCATGGACCACAACGTAGACCAGACTGGCAAGGCAGTCATCATCAACAAGACTGGCAACACACGCATGTAAGTGGGAGAATGGTAGAAGTTAGAGGACAATGAGTGGAACATAGAAGGAAATGAATGGAAGTTAGAGGACAATGAATGGAAGTTAGAGGACAATGAATGGAAGTTAGAGGACAATGAATGGAAGTTAGAGGACAATGAATGGAAGTTAGAGGACAATGAATGGAAGTTAGAGGACAATGAATGGAAGTTAGACGACAATGAATGGAAGTTAGACGACAATGAATGGAAGTTAGAGGACAATGAATGGAAGTTAGAGGGCAATGAATGGAAGTTAGAGGACAATGAATGGAAGTTAGAGGACAGTGAGTGGAACTTGTAAGACAATGAAACACATTAAAAATATATATATGTTTACTTCTTCAGCCCAGATCAGAGGTTCTCAGAGCACATCAAGGATGAAAGGAACTTGGACTTCCAGAAGAAGTTTATCCTCAAGAGAGACGATGTTAGTATGGACAAGGACGATAATCAGGTGATGATAGACGCTTTTTATTATGTAGTGATTAAAATACTTAATTATTCCAAATATATGTTTTAACGTATTTCTTACTGTCTTTAGCTTTGTTGATCTTTATAGAACACGATGCACGAGATATGAGAAGAGTGAATATCATCTATCCAATTGACTCTAGTATTGATAACGAATCGTTGTATAATAAATCTGTTTTACCTTACACTTCTTGTATTGTTGAGAAGATGCTCTGAATTGTATTCAGTGACTACCACTTCTGTCCAAGAGGTTGCTGATCCCACCCCTCTTTTTTCTCTTGTCCAATCGCAGATCCGTGTGCCGCTGCAGGACGGGCGGCGCAGCAAATCAATAGAGGAGAGGGAGGAGGAGTATCAGAGGGTACGAGACCGGATCTTCGCCCGAGAAGTAAGTCGTGGGGGACACTCAACAGTGAGGATGGGCAGTTGACTAACTTGTTAACTTGTCCCCCACTCTGTCTGTTCCACTAACCATTCCTCCCACTGTATCAACTAACAGCTCATTTTAATAACTTATGGGTGGAGAGAGAACGGGTTACTTCATACAATACAGCCTATTCATGTGGTATAGAGTTAAAAGGCAGAGTAATAAGTGAAGTCCATATTCTTGGAGGTCATGAGTGAACCTTGGGTAACCTTGGCTAATACAGTATTTGACAGAATTGACATGAGTCAGTGTTCATTGTCCAGGCAGTTGCAAATGGGAATATGTTCTCAATAAACTACCCGGTCCAATTATAGCTAATAAATAAATCTAGTTCTGGGATCGACTAGCTCTAGCTATTCGTAATTTACAGGTGTCTTTTCCTTTTCAGTCCTCTCAAAATGGATACATCAACGACAACAGGTAAGCTCACGGTACAGTATGCATCACAGTGGATAGCTTCATGTGTGCACTTGTAAAGGGACCCCAGAGTATGGAGTTAGTCCCCAGCCAGTTTACTCCCCTAGGTGGGTAGCAGAAGCAGTCAGGGGGCGGCCTGGTCACATCAAGGCTCTCTAACCCTGTTCCAAACCCCCTGGCACCATCAAACTAGGCCACCAAGTTACATTTAGGTGTATTTCAAGAGATTTTAAAAGTTCACATGCGATAATGCTGGCAATATAATAATTCTGGCAGTATATCATAAGTTGAAGTTTCAAGGACCAGGGTTCGGTTTTGCCGAGTTGGAATCAATGATGTGTATAAACCCTGGATTGCTGATGATATGTATGGGCCATTGAGAGGCTTTGAAGCCACCGGTCAGCCATATTGGCACTCCCCAGCAGGAGCAGTCCTCCATAGGAATGAATGCAATTCTACAGTATTTCAATTAAATGTTTCAAGGACTAAATTAAATGTATTTAGGTATTTTGTTGTTGTAGTGGGGACAGTAACATTAGTTATCTCTAAAAACTATACTTTAATGAAACATTTTTTATATTTTTATTTTATTTGTATGTTTAGCTCACATAATATAATTTAAAAGTATGCATTAAGGTGTTTGTAATAGATTAAATGGCAAAAAACCAGAATGTAGACATTAATAAATGCATTTCTATAGCTTCCAAAATATTTTTTACAATGGTAGGGGAGTTCCAAGATGCAAGCCATGGTGGCTTCAACACAGCGCCCCCTAGCAGTCATCTAGTGTATATTTAAATAATTGGTTGGAATGTGGGTTGAATTGATATTCATGTATAGCTGAGAATATTTTTCCAAATATATTCAAAATGAATAAGTACAGCTTTCAACCCCCCTCCATTTCTGATGGAGATTAACGATTATTAAACAGATGTGCTGAGAGAAGGAAAGAAGAAGGCAAACTTTGTTCCTTGTTTAGAGCTGTCAACATTTCTGCTCTGTGTGCATTATTTCTCTGTTTTGGGGGTGGTTAGATACAGTGCAGCACTGTTACCTACCTACCTACCTGGCCCCCTCTCCTATACCCACCCACTAACCCCCCGGCATTGCCTTTCTCTCCCTCCACTATCACCCAACAGACTTTCCACTGAAGGCTACTCCTCTAGCTCTCAAAAGAGGAGGCAGATTTTTAGGTACTGACACAATCGGGTGACGTGTGACTCTAGCAGTCTGTGATTGTGTTGCCGTACCCATCTACCCTCTATCTAGTAGTGATTTTATATGACTGACTGGGTGCGTCCGGAATGGCACCCCTATTCCCTACGTAGTGCATTACTTTCAACCAGAGACCTATGGACTCTAGTCAAAAGTAGTGGACAATATAGGGGATAGGGTGCCATTTCAGATGCAGCCACTGACTGTGGGTGTTCTTGCTTGACGTGGGGTTGGCACTGTGAGGTCCAAGACCTATTGCATGGCTGCTTTGTGGGTGGTTTTTCTGGGAGCGGGTACTACTTATTTATCTACCCGTCATCATCACTACTACATATTTTATAGTACTGTACTACTGCATTGCATCCCCTCCCCCCCCACCCCCACCCCCCTAAATCTCTGTTTTTGTTGATTTGGTGGTTGTTAATCTGGTTTGGTTTTGTAACCCCTTCTTTATCTTTGTTCTGCTACTTGTACAGTAGTTGTCTCTACTACTACTGTTTGCGGTATCCTAAGGAGAGATCGCTCTGTGTTGGTTGTGATCTGCAGCAGCGAAACAATCACAATGAAACGTCTTTAGCCGATTTACCTCAGTAATGTTGAAAAAGGGATTTGAGGTAGGTTGTTATTAGTTCCATAGACATTAGTGATAGGAAGTTCGACTCTTTTTTTTTTTTTTACTGATTCGGATCTTTTCAACTCGTTCATTCAAAATAACGAATCTTTCAACTAATTTCGTTCATTTGATTCAGTAATGCCGTGAGTGCGCGGGACCCCCTACCGGCGAACGACAAACTAAAAACTCGAATTACTCATGGTTCTACAAGCCTCTCGTTCACCATAGGGGGCTTATTGGAGCTGTCATTTGTGACTGAGACACAAAAGTGTGCTTCAAACAATGTACATTTGTCATTGCTAGGCGTACAAATAGGATTATTTCTTGATACCTTTGAAACGAGGTCTAGTTGTGGCCACAACCGGACTAGATTGTAAACGACTTTTGGCAGAATGACTTGATTGCCGAGATAATTACATATCGTTCGAACTGCAGCAGCCCCCCAAAACAATTTGTTCTCAAGTTTGAGTTTGTTGAGCAGGGGCAGGCTATGGTTTGGTTCTGCAAAGCTGTGTCAATCAATAATCTATCAATTAATTAAATACATCAATACTTGCCCATAAGATAAATTATCAGTTTTTCTTCTCTATGCTGCATGCAGCATGATCTATTTTCCTGCTTGCACATATGATAAACAGTTGGTGTTTGGATCACGTCTCTGGAGCCGCTGGCCGGAGAATAGCGTATTAATCCTGCTGTAGGATTCATTGTGAGCAGCAGATCAAACAAACGACTAAAATGAAACAAATCTGAATCCAGGTGCAAGCTATGCTCCCTTATTGATGTCACTTAAATCCACTTCAATCAGTGTAGATGAAGTGGAAGATACAGGTTAAAGAAGGATTTTTAAGTCTTGAGACAATTGACATGGATTGTGTGTTTGTGTCATTCAGAGGGTGAATGTTGAAGAACTGGCTGCATGTTGAAGAACTGTCCACATTTTACTTTTCGTCAGCCAACAAGATGAATAGGCCTAACGAACAGCAAAAGCACTAGCCTATGTCAATCTACTATCCCCCATAGTACAAAAGTTGACCTATTCTGTGCTAGATAGATCCCAAATTAATACAACCACTAGCATCAAAAAACATTTTTTATGCAATGAGGCTATTTCTTCACATTATAAGCGCAGCAATGCGCACACGGCAGTAGGCTATAAGCGCGAATGTTCCATTAGCGGAAAAACACCATTATCAAAAGTGACCATAAATGCGATTATGCATGTAATGCTTTTATTATAAAGGTGCATTGTTTCTTGCCTTACGCTGGGCATCATTCACAAGTGATAGGCTAATATTGTCACCCATCAGACTTTTCTTGATTTAATCTTTACATATACTAAATAATATGTGTGAAATTTGTTTGGATTTAGAATGGACCATTATCATGCACCTGTCTCAATCAGGGGCAGGGGGAAAAAATACATGTCATCTATGCACTTAAATAGCAAATGGAGGACGCTTTTCCGTGGTTCATTTTCATGCCAGCCAGGTAGGCTATACTCCTGTTGTAAAGACAAGCAATGTGCTTAATATTAGGAAAGTTAAGATATAAATATAGTAGGCCTAGCCTATAGAAAGCTGATGGGATCCTCCTCTTTTTAATAGAGGCCATCACCCTGTTTTCTCACGTCAATTGCATAGCCTATAGAAATGTTGCGCAACATGAGCTCATGGGCTGTCATGAAGTGTTTGATTTCGATTTTCCATACATTTGCATTGATGTCAGAGTGATTAGAGGGACAATAGAGTGCTGAGTACCAGGCAGTTAGCTAGTTTGGTAGGCTACTAATGACCATCAGCAGCATCAGAGCTTGGAGAAGCCTAATTACGTGACTAAACGGTCATGTGGAATTTGACTGCCTTTATGACTTGTGACCTCTGGTGTGTCGGTAATACGGTCACCGGAACAGCCCTAATCCGGAGTATGCAGAACGTCCTGAGCTGCAGACTCATTGAAGTAGACGTTTTCATCCAAATCGAGGTTTGTGATTGATGTTCCGATGTCCAGAAGCTGTTTTTGGTCATAGGAAATTATGGCAGTACATTATGTACAAAAAAAGTTAAGATCAGCTTTAGGCTAGCTCAGTCATTTCTCAGAATATCTGGCACAGACGAGTTTAGCAGAATTGGCCATTTTGCCTGCCTTTGTTGTCTTGCAGAGATATAGCTTCTCATTGTTCTGTGGTTATTCCCCTCCAATAGAGAACCACAGTATTTGCAGTCAGCGCACCCCACTGTATTTCAGTTTAGTTAAATTTTCTTTTGTTAGTCAGAAATCCAAGCATTTGTTGTCAGCATTTTAGGTGATATCGCTGAATATTCGAACACTGTCATCACGTTACTGTCCCAAACCTGCATTTGTCAATTTTTTGTGAAGTGCAATGCATTAAAATCCGTATTTGATTAAGCTAGAAATAAGAAAAAGTAAGCTGTAGGATGTAAACAGCGACGGTGAGCCGATGACGGGGTTGTATAGTAGGTTATGACAAGTTGATAGCTTCCTGGTCATCGCTGGATGCATTCTAATAATGCCTGGTGTGATTAATTATTTTGGCAGTAGCCCTTACCCAGGGTGACAGCACTATGTGACCTTTGCAACGAGACAGTGTGTTTTTATCGTAGACGTTAAAACCAGTAGATAGTGATAGTGCTGACGTCATCCACGTATTCCTATGGAAAACTCCCGATGGCGCATGAAGCCGGAAGTATTTGAATTTGAAGCGCGCCATATTGATGAATGGGGCTGAATGGCACCAAAAAATCACTAAGGATCATGGCGAAGGAGGCCAAAACTAGCGAAGGATCATGGTCGACGTATTCTTTTTCATCCTGCCTGAGATAGTCAGCATTGACGTCTATGGCATGAGGGCGTGAGCCTCCTCGTAGCCTGCCGGCCCGTGATTGGTCTGTCAGTACGTGGAACTGTGTGATGACAAATGTAGTAGTCACAATAGATTCCTATTTAATAATAATAGGCACCGCTAGGTTGCTACACAGTAGCCGACCAGCAGAGCTTGTGACTTCACCCTTCAGACCGGACCCTGGGGGCCTGGTTTCTATATACAACACCATAGTTATAACAATGAAGTGATGGTGGGGGGGGGGGGTGGTGGTGACAGTGGTTTATTTTGTGTGTGTGTGTATCTATGCGTGTTTTGTCCATTGTAAAGAATCCATATAGTCTTAGTGGTGTGTCAGGTGTGCGTTATGGAACTTGTCTCACTCACTCATTCTGCTGTCCTTATGGCTTTTCTTCCTTTGTTCGTTCACCTTGGTGTTGATTTGGAAAAAGCATCGGTCATCTGCATGTGTGTTTCTCTGTGTTGGGTGTGTGCTGGTTGGGTGAGGGTGCACTACAGTGTGTGGTGGTAACTGTTTGGTTTGTTGCCTGAATTTTGGTTTTACCAGCCAGTCAACACCTTTTTGTATTTTGGTTTATTGAATGCCCCATATTCTCTCTACATGTCAAAGTGTATGCTCTTAACCTGTTGCTGATCACCCTGTGCCTCTGTACCCCATTTCTCTCTCCCACCCTCTTTCTCTCCACCTCTGTTCCTCTCCCTGACCCCCTCTCCCTCATCTTTCCCTTTCTCCTTATATCCTTCTCTACTCTGCCCCCTTCACTCTTTCTCTTCTCCCTCTCTTCCCCCTCCCCTCTCCAGGGGTAACCGTGAGAGCTCCAGCCGTGCTTCCAGCAGCCGCCAGAGCAGTACGGACAGTGATATGAAGTGCCCGGAGCCGAGGCCCTGGAGTAGCACAGACTCAGACAGCTCCAATAGGACCCTCCGGCCCCCGGTCACAAAGGCATCCAGCTTCTCTGGCATCTCCATTCTGACCAGAGGAGATAGTCTGGGGAGTAACAAGAGCTCACAGGGCTCCTGCAGGGGCTCACGCACTGGTACGTATTTTACGGCGCACACACACACACACACACACACACACACACACACACACACACACACACACACGAGCATCTCCATACTGACTAGAGGAGACAGTCTGGGGAGTAACAAAAGCTCATAAATCGTAGAGGAAAGGAATGCTGAGGTGAGTGCAGAAATGTTGAGGAACAGACATTGCGGTTTCTGTATAACTTTGTTTTGACTTGTGTTGTCTTGTTATCTCCTGCAGGTCTGCCCCTGGTGAGTCCAGACGGGTGTCCTCAGCCCCCAGCTCCCCAGCCTGGCCCCTGCCCTGGGGGTCGCAGTCTGTTACCCTGCCCCTCCCAACAGCCCCAGGTCCAGACCCAGCCTCCCCAGACCGCCCTGCTGCCCACTCCACAGCAACACCCCATGGGCAACCACAACCATAATCACAACCACATGATGGCTCAGGTGAGAGAGAAGCTCATGTCACAAACCCTTTTTTTTTATTTAAATACCTGGTGATTTAAATGCTGTTTCAGTTTAGAAAAAATAAACTGCAAATGGCTATATTCCTGCATTTTTCCTCTTTTGCCCAGTAACTGCCCTCGGTTTCCTAACCTAAACTCTGTCTCCATCTCCTCCTCCTCCTTCTCCCACTATCTGTCCCTCTGTTAGCCGGTGGGGTCTCTGCAGCCATCTCAGCCTGTGTCCTACTCCTCCTCCTGTCCCCAGGTTCTGCTGCCTGTCTCTCCTCCCCAGCAGTACATGGTACTTCTACCATCCTGTCTCACTATATACAGTGGGGTCTGACATTATTGACACCCTTGATACACCATGAACACAGGCAGTTTGTAAGGCTGTTGGTGTAAATGAGGAATTATCATGTTGTTACAATGTCATTAATCTAATGACTAATAGTGATTGTTTGTGTGACTGACAGTGAGAAAGGCAAGGTATGGAAGGCTCAGTTGCAGTGGAGTGTTCTGTAGTCATAATACACTCACCGTCCAGTTTATTAGGTACAGCACCCCGTTCACAAAAATGGATGAGTCACGTGGCCCTGGCTTGTTAGATAAAGCAGGCAGAATGCATTGAGGCATTCAGTTGCTGTTCGATTGAATGTTAGAATGGGCAAAATGAGTGATCTTTGAGCGTGCCACGACAGTGTTTAGGGTTTACCGAGAATGGTGCGACAAACATAAAAACATCCAGTCAGCGGCAGTCCTGTGGGCGAAAACAGCTTGTTGATGAGGGGTGGAAGGAGAATGGCAAGAATCGTTCAAGCTAACATGCGGTCCACAAACAGACAAATAACAGTGCAGTACAACAGTGGTGTGCAGAACGGCATCTTGGAACGCACAACTCGTTGGTCCTTGTCACAGATGGGCTATTGCAGCAGACGACCTCACTGGGTTCCACTCCTATCAGCTAAAAACAAGAAGAAGCAGCTCCAGTGGGCACGTGATCACAAACATTGGACAATTGAGGAGTGGAAATACATTGCCTGGAACATGACAGCAAGTTCAGTTTACTGGCCTGTGCAGTCCCCAGACCTCAACCCAATAGAGCATCTTTGGGATGAGATGGAACTGGCTGTTCGCAGCATGAATGTACCGCCGTCCAATCTGCAGCAACTGCGTGATGCATGGACCAACATCCTTGTGGAACGTTTCCGACACCTTGTAGAATGCCCCGAATAATTCAGGCTGTTCTGGAGGCAAAGGGAGCTCCGACCCGGAACAAGATGGGTGTGCCTAATAAACTGTATATACGGTGGTGTCCAAAAGTATTGACACCCTTGATAAAGATGAGCAAAAATGGCTGTAATAAAATAAATAATTGAAATACTGAGCTATATTGTATGTGCACATGTTTTGTTTATATAATTATTTTATACAAGTACTCAGAGAAAGTAATAAACAATTCACAAAATGGTAGGTGTCAAAATTGACACCCCTGTTTTCAATACCTTTCAATACCTCACCTCACCTTGCGAGGATAGTCTTTTTCTAAAATGTTTTATGAGTTGAACACATTGGGAGGGATCTTAGACCATTCCTCCATACAGAATCCTTCCAGATCCTTGATATCGTTCATGAACTTTACCCAGTATTGTTACCGTTTTAAACACACCAGTAACTCTAACCCCTCGTCTCTCTCTCTCAGGGTGAGGAGCTGGCTCCCCAGTTCAGCCAGATGACTCTGAGTAGACAGGGTTCCAGCGAGGCTCCGGAGCCCCCCACCATGTACCAGACCCAGGGGCCCACTGTCCTCACCCAGCACCCCCCACCCCAGACTGGCTACATCATGGCCACCACAGGCCAGCCCCTGGCCCCTCTGTCTGGCTACCAGCCTAACTCTGGACACCCCCACCCCCCTCCTCTTCCACCCCCTCCCTCCCAGACCGTCATGCAGCCCCCTCCACCGCCGCAGGGATACATGCAGCCGCCTCCCCCGCAACAGGTATTATTTAAAAATTTTTGCAATCAATCACATGTTTGTAAAGCCCTTTTTACATCAGCAGTTGTGCACAAATAGAATGAATACAGAGCAGAAGTTGGATATAAGTTGCATTTCCACGAGTTACAGACTGAGAGTATACACACAGCTTGAGAAAGGTAGAGAGAGTCAAACACTTTGGTTAGACAACTTTACCATCAAATGTGAGAAAGTGTCAATGGTGTGATTCCTGTGAAATCGCGGCGGGATTCACACGGCGGTGGTGTGCGCTCTATTCTCTCTCTCTCTCTCTCTACTCTACCTCTCTACCCCTCTCTCTTCTCATCACACTGCCCTCCAGCTGAGTCAGTAATGAGGCGCTTGGAGCCATAAAATATTCATTTATATTCTGGAGGAGAAAACCTCCACGTCATTGACCCTGCACTAGGGGGGTGGGATAATGCCCAAGTAGGAATTTGGCAAATAGCTGCACTGATGTCTTTTACTGGCTTTTGTGAGGAAGTGGCAGTTCTAGTTCTTTTAGCACTTTGTGAGGTAGCTGGTGGCAGTGCTTTCACAGTAGGGAGAATAGCATGGGCAGAGTGAGATTTCTGTAGAGCACTAGTGTTCCTGTAGTGTGCCCTTCAGGACAGCCACTAGCTATAAGGCAGCATGGCTCACAAATGACAGATCGGTCTCTTTCGTAGAGCTAAACAATAGGGGGCTAACTCAGATGGAGTCACGCTCGTAGGGGGGCAAGCAAAACACCCTACACCGCTTGTTGGATGTGCATACGTTACCTTCGAACTTCCATTGTCCTCCAGCAGTTGATTTCTAGTTTGCTCCTCTATTCATGCACCTTGGTTGGAAAGTTAATTTTTCTACCTTCTATGAACGAACTGACTGTGTATTTCTCCCTCCCTCTACCGAACCCCTCCACAGATCCATGTGTCGTATTACCCCCCTGGGCAGTACCCCAGCACGGGGCAGCAGTACCAGCCTGGACCCATGTCTCACCAGGTGTCCTACCCTGCCCAGCACCCAGCTCATACCCAGCACTCCCAGCCCATGCCCCAGCCCACACAGCAGTCTGGTCAGTACCATGCTGTCCCTCTCATGTAACTATCTGACTGTCTTTAAAGTGCTGTACAGTTTAAATTACATCCGACCACGTTCTCGTTCACACACCAATTTCGATTAATCTACTTGGATGGGGGTACCCAATACAACCCCCGCGTATCGTAATGATCCATCCAGCCGTTTTTGAGAACCAAGTACCAGATTTGAATTAGGATCATTATTCCGATGTCAAATTCCGATTTTTGGGGCCAAACGCTAACTACATTCCTACACTTCATATTAAAATGAAGATACACAGTTGCGTGAGAATCTTAATTAGATCCAGTAGGGTGGGTGAAAAGTAAGCAGCTGGGGAAAGCCTGGACTCCTGTACACTGTGTGTATCACTGTGTGTATTTGCTGAATAAACATTTATCAACAGTGTGTTGCGTTTCGGGCATAGAAAACCTTCATCAAGGCATTGATGACCGAATCGCTGCCTACCTGATTTGGCAACGCTGTATACGGGAGTCCGTTCGGCCACCCAGTCAACACAATCAACAGAAACAACACCAGAAAGGCTCAGATGTCTAAAATAAATCTAATTTGATTTGACACATGCGCCAAATCCAACAGGTGTAGACTTTACGGTGAAATGCTTACTTTACGAGCCCTTTCCCAACAACGCAGAGTTAAAAAGTACAAAAACGAAATGAAAAAACAAGAGGAAATGGTAACACAATAACGAGCCTATATACAAGGAGTACCGGTACTGAGTCAATGTGCAAGAGTACAAGGTAGTTGAGAGGTAATATGTACATGTAGGCAGGGGTAAAAGTGACTAGGCAGTCAGGATAGATAATAAACAGGGTAGCAGCAGGGTGAAGTGTGAAAGTGTGTGTGTGTTGGACTGTCAGGGTAGTATGTGTGGGTAGAGTTCAGTGAAAACAAAGGTAACAGGGTCAATGCAAATAGTCCGGGTAGCCATTTGATTAACTGTTCAGCAGTCTTATGGCTTGGGGGTTAGAAGCTGTTCCGGTACCACTTGGCGTTCTGGTACCGCTTGCCATGCGGTAGCAGAGAGGACACTCTATACCAGGCGGTGTCAGGAAGGCCCTAAAAAGTCATAGAGGTCCTACCCTCTGTAGGGCCTTGTGGTCGAATGCCAAGCAGTTGCCATACCAAGCGGTGATGCAGCCAGTCAAGATGCTCTCAATGGTGCAACTGTTGGACTTTTTGATATCTCTTAACACAAGGCTCAAGGTCAGCCAAATAATGGTTACCAGGAATAAATGGCTATTTTAGTCTCCACATTGTGTAGTTGGGGAGAACAGTACTGATGCAATGAGTCCTGGAAAGTTACCATGATTATACTCATAGGAACCTGAGCATTAAGGCTGCAAGAAGCCTACCCCCTGCTAGACTGTCCTTTGCAACTTTTTAAGCTTCACCCCCTTGGCTTTAGGTGTACAGTAATCCCTTGTTTATCGCGGGGGTTACGTTCCGAAAATGACCCGCGATAAGTGAAATCCGCGAAATAGAAAACTTTTTTTTTTTACAATTAGCAACTATTACATGTATACAAATACAGTGACTCACGTGTAGGCCGTTTCACTGCTCTTCAGACTGGGCCGCTGCATCCTGACTGCGCTCTGCAGTGTTCTCTTCTTCTGAAGCCCGCGGTGCAGGTGTGTTTGTTCGGGAGAAGAACATAGTGATAGGCAGCTGTTGTCGCTCTTTTTTCTTCTTTGCAAAAAGATCCTTGTACACCGACATGCCACCATCGATTACGTTGGAGAACTGTAATGAACGGCTCATCAAAGGGTCCCATTCCTCAGCTACTCGCTTAAGTTCAGTGGCCATTCGCACCATGGTTGCTAAGCGACCAAGCGTTAGTCCTTCCTCCTCATTGACTGCTGCTGTCGTCCTTATGTTTTTTTCCTCCTTCTTTATGTAACGAACGGAAGATTCATTGATTCCGTAATGGCGAGCAACGGCTGCATAGCTTTTACCTTCCCTTAGCATGTCCAGAAGTTTAACTTTATCTGAGATAGGTAGCATCTTCCGCCGTTTGGGCCCATCCGCAGGTGCTTTTGTCGGTCCAGGCCGTTTCGTCGACATTATGGGTTTAGGAGATGTTCGAAATTACAAGATAATTTGGCCAACTTAATGTAAATTTGCCAAGCTGTTTTATGTACGTACACATAACTGCACGAGACGACAAAATGATAGCACAATTCGTAGCATGTTTTGATACAAGAAGCGGGAGTGAGTTTTTAGCGAATCAGAATGCAGAGCACAATGCACCAAAAAAAAAAAAATGCATTATGAAAATCCGCGAAATAGCGAATCCGCGATAAGTGAACCGCGAAGTGGCGAGGGATCACTGTACATTCTTTTCTTTCTAGACAGCCTGTGTTAACATGACCATGACATGTGCTATGGTCGTCACCAGTAGGTCCAGGGGTAATAGGAGTGCAGCATCCCCAGAATACACACACACACACACACACACACCTGTATTAACACACTGCATGTTGTCTCCAGCAGCTCTCCAGACCATGATGCCCAGTCAGCAGCCCCAGTACCAGGGGATGATAGGAGTACCCCAGCAGCCCCAGAACCAGGCCCTCCTCACCTCCCAGAGGCAGAGCATACAAGGACAGGTGACAGGGATGATGGTCCAGTACCCACAGATGCCCTCATATCAGGTACAGTAGGCCCTCAATTCAAGTCAATTCAATACAACTTTATTTATCCTCTCAGGGGCAATTAAGAAAGGCAAATTGCCTGTCTGAATTATTCCTGAGGGGATACATATAGGTATATTGAATTGACATGAATTCCATGCATGATGTCACTCTTAAATCATGCGAGTGTACATGTACGTTTTCGAGTTCCTCAAGGCTCTGTTTTTATTGAATATGATACTTCTCTGTGATGCGATTCCTAGTGTCCGTTTTTTCCAGCTATGTGGATGATAGACAGCTGGTACAGTTCAATGAATCATGGTACATGAACTACCACCCTTATCTTGATAAAAGTCGTACCCAAGTCTTGTCTATTTAACATGTGGATCTAAAGAGGAGCAAGACAACTTCTCTCTTCGATTATCAATATTGATTTCTTATTTAGTTCAAAGACAAACCCCAGAACATGCGTGAACCCCAATAACCTTTTCCCAAGTCAAGTATTCCACAGTGTCATTACTTTACGCACTGTTCTGGCTAAGAGATATCTACAGTGTATCACCTTCTACATCTCCCCACCAGGTGCCGGTGGCCAATGAGTCTCAGCAGGTGGTACAGCAGCAGTACCAGCAGCAAGTCATGGTGCCAGTCAGCCAGTCTCTCCAGACTGTCCAGGGGGTACAGGGACCCATGCCAGGCCAAGGCATGCCCATATACTACAGCGTCATCACCCCCACACAACAGAACAGCACAAGGTAGATGCATGAAATATGATTTATACACTGCTCAAAAAAATAAAGGGAACACTTAAACAACCCAATGTAACTCCAAGTCAATCACACTTCTGTGAAATCAAACTGTCCACTTAGGAAGCAACACTGATTGACAATACATTTCACATGCTGTTGTGCAAATGGAATAGACAACAGGTGGAAATTATAGGCAATTAGCAAGACACCCCCAATAAAGGAGTGGTTCTGCAGGTGGTGACCACAGACCACTTCTCAGTTCCTATGCTTCCTGGCTGATGTTTTGGTCACGTTTGAATGCTGGCGGTGCTTTCACTCTAGTGGTAGAATGAGACGGAGTCTACAACCCACACAAGTGGCTCAGGTAGTGCAGCTCATCCAGGATGGCACATCAATGCGAGCTGTGGCAAGAAGGTTTGCTGTGTCTGTCAGCGTAGTGTCCAGAGCATGGAGGCGCTACCAGGAGACAGGCCAGTACATCAGGAGACGTGGAGGAGGCCGTAGGAGTGCAACAACCCAGCAGCAGGACTGCTACCTCCGCCTTTGTGCAAGGAGGAGCACTGCCAGAGCCCTGCAAAATGACCTCCAGCAGGCCACAAATGTGCATGTGTCTGCTCAAACGGTCAGAAACAGACTCCATGAGGGTGGTATGAGGGCCCGATGTCCACAGGTGGGGGTTGTGCTTACAGCCCAACACCGTGCAGGACGTTTGGCATTTGCCAGAGAACTCCAAGATTGGCAAATTCGCCACTGGCGCCCTGTGCTCTTCACAGATGAAAGCAGGTTCACACTGAGCACATGTGACAGATGTGACAGAGTCTGGAGACGCCGTGGAGAACGTTCTGCTGCCTGCAACATCCTCCAGCATGACCGGTTTGGCGGTGGGTCAGTCATGGTGTGGGGTGGCATTTCTTTGGGGGGCCGCACAGCCCTCCATGTGCTCGCCAGAGGTAGCCTGACTGCCATTAGGTACCGAGTTGAGATCCTCAGACCCCTTGTGAGACCATATGCTGGTGCGGTTGGCCCTGGGTTCCTCCTAATGCAAGACAATGCTAGACCTCATGTGGCTGGAGTGTGTCAGCAGTTCCTGCAAGAGGAAGCCATTGATGCTATGGACTGGCCCGCCCATTCCCCAGACCTGAATCCAATTGAGCACATCTGGGACATCATGTCTCGCTCCATCCACCAATGCCACGTTGCACCACAGACTGGCCAGGAGTTGGCGGATGCTTTAGTCCAGGTCTGGGAGGAGATCCCTCAGGAGACCATCCGCCACCTCATCAGGAGCATGCCCAGGCGTTGTAGGGAGGTCATACAGGCACGTGGAGGCCACACTCACTACTGAGCCTCATTTTGACTTGTTTTAAGGACATTACATCAAAGTTGGATCAGCCTGTAGTGTGGTTTTCCACTTTAATTTTGAGTGTGATTCCAAATCCAGACCTCCATGGGTTGATACATTTGATTTCCATTGATAATTTTTGTGTGATTTTGTTGTCAGCACATTCAACTATGTAAAGAAAAAAGTATTTAATAAGATTATTTCATTCATTCAGGTCTAGGATGTGTTATTTTAGTGTTCCCTTTATTTTTTTGAGCAGTGTATATAACACGCTTTGAACAGATGCTAAAGTGCTTGATATTGTATAGGAAGAACTCCGCTGCTCCCAACGTGTTGCGCACACCTGGGTGATGCCACAGCAGACATTTCGAGCTAGAACCCCAGATAACTTGTTCTTAATAAGTATTAGTAACACTTCTCACTTCTAGAATAACAAAAATGCAATAAAGTACACTTTAAAAACAAAAGCATTACATTAGAATTTGTCTGAACTCCAGGAGCAGAGTAATGGTCTGAATCCATCCAGGTATGAATTAAGTTGTTTAACACTATCTGTAACAAGAAGTGTGCTGCCAGTGCGTCTATCTGTAACAAGTTCTCCTGCTGACACGCCAACCGCTTGAATGCACTCTAAGTGTTTGACAATCAGAAGTCATTACAAACTATTGAATACGATAGAAACTCAAATGACTGGCATCAATAAGCCACCTCTTTAACACTTTAATCTGTATTTCCTGTGACACACACACACACACACACACACACACACACACTTGCTGCTTTCACATTCCTTCTACACGCTTGCTAAACAAAATATTAGCATTGTAATTGAAGCCTAGCAGACCGCAGCTTGTCGATGTGATATGCCTACCGTTTGGATGTGGAGGGCTGCCAAGTGCTTACACAGTGTGTGTGTCGCTGTGTGTGTGTGTGTGTGTGTGTGTGTCTCTCAGTCCATCAGTGGGGTACCTGCAGCCCAGCTCCGAGCAGTACCAGATGAGCCAGTCTCCGTCCCCCTGCAACCCTCAGCAGATGCCGCAGCAATATTCAGGTGACAGTTAATCTGGTCCACTCTGAAACCGAAGAAAGGCCACATAGAGATGTTTTCGGAATTTGTTGATTACGTCAATCACCTGTGTTAGTACTGGCCTTGACATATAAGCCTAGACCAGGGTTGCGCCTAGGAGGTTGCAACAAACTGTACATGGGCCATGACAGATAGAAATGCCACAAACAGAGCTATCATGATTCCTAACTCTACTTTCCTAACAATACAGAAAGTCTGTTCTGCACTATATCTTTTTCAGGACACTTCACAATATTGTGTCCTACTAAATGTGGCCTTGCCTGGGTTGAAGAACACTGCTCGACTGTGTAACTTCATTCAACTTTGTCTGTGTGTGCTACAGGAGTGCCGCCCCCAGGCCCCGGAGTGATGGTCATGCAGCTTAGCGTCCCCAACGGACCGCAGCCTACCCAGAACCCTCCTCTGGTACAGTGGAACCCCTGCAAATACTACAGCCTAGAGCAGAGGCCCAGCAAGCCTGGAGAACTCTACAAACCAGACAACACACAACAGGTACACTCTACCACTATACTCATACCTCTCTCACTCACATACTCTCACTAACATACATTACAGCATACACATACTGTATAGCATTCATATAAAGGATCCTTGAGGAGTTCTGACTCTGTCTCTTGGAGTTCTGACCCCCCCCCCCCCCCCCCTTTCCTCACCAGGCCAGTACCCAGATGAGCAGTCCCCTGGCCTCCCCCACCCAGTCCCCCACTCTCTCCCCCTCAGGCAGCGTGAGCAGCGTCTGTCCTGGCCTCGGCCCCCTGCCCCTACTGTCACAGTTCCCTCGGCCCGGACCAGGGCCTGCGCAAGGTAATAACACATGGACACACACGCAGACATGGAGGCACACATGCAGTCACACACACACACACACACACACACACACACAGTCACGCTCGTGCACATACATGTGTATATACAGTGCTTTCGGAAAGTATTCAGACCCTTTAAACTTTTTCCGCTTTTTGTTAGCCTTATTTTAAAACAGCCCACTTGGAGTTTGCCAAAAGGCACCTAAAGACTCTCAGACCATGAGAAACAAGATTATCTGGTTTGATGAAACCCAGATTGAACTCTTTGGCCTGAATGACAAGCGTCACGTCTGGAGGGAACCTGGCACCATCTCTACGGTGACGCATGGTGGTGGCAGCATTATGCTGTGGGGATGTTTTTCAGCGGCAGGTACTGGGAGACTAGTCAGGATCGAGGGAAAGATTAATGGAGCAAAGTACAGAGAGATCCTTGATGATAAACTGCTCCAGAGTGCTCAGGACCTCAGACTGGGGTAAAAGTTCACCTTCCAACAGGACAACGACCCTAAGTACACAGCCAAGACAACGCAGGAGTGGCTTCGGGACAAGTCTCTGAATGTCCTTGAGTGGCCCAGCCAGAGCCTGGACTTGAACCCGATCTAACATCTCTGGAGAGACCTGAAAATAGCTGTGCAGTGACACTCCCCATCCAACCTGACAGAGCTTGAGAGGATCTGCAGAGAAGAATGGGAGAAACTCCCCAAATACATGTGTGCCAAGCTTGTAGCGTCATACCCAAGAAGACTCGAGGCTGTAATCGTTGCCAAAGGTGCTTCAACAAAGTACTGAGTAAAGGGTCTGAATACTTATGTAAATGTGATATTTCCGTTTTTTTATTTTCTATAAATTTGTATATTTCTAAAAACATGTTTTTTCTTTGTCATTATGGGGTATTGTGTGTAGATTGATGACGGGGGGAGAAAAACGATTTAATCAATTTTAGAATAAGGCTGTAACGTAGCAAAATGTGGAAAAAGTCAAGGGGTCTGAATACTTTCCGAAAACACTGAGTGTACAAAATATTAAGAACACCTGTGCGTTCCATGACATAGAATGACCAGGTGAAAGCTATGATCCTTTATTGATGTCACTTGTTAAATCCACTTCAATCAGTGTAGATGAAGGGGAGGAGACAGGTTAAAGAATGATTTTCAAGCCTTGACAGTTGAGACATGGATTGGTTACAGGGTATGGTAGTAGGTGCCAGGCACTCCGGTTTGTGTCAAGAACTGTAACATTGCACATTTTTCACGTTCAACAGTTTCCAGTGTGTATCAAGAATGGTCCACCACCCAAAGGACATCCAGCCAATTTGACACAACTGTGGGAAGCATTGGAGTCAACATGGGCCAGCATGGGCCAGCATCCCAGCGGAATGCCTTGGACACCTTATAGAGTCCATGCACGATGAATTGAGGCTGTTCTGAGGGCGGGCGGGCGGGGGGGGGGGGGGTGCAACTCAATATTGGGAAGGTGTTCCGAGTGTTTGGTATACTCAGTGTATATGCACACTGTATACACACTCTCTCACACACTACACTGACACTTTCACACAAAACCCATATCGTATCTATTGTGATGCCTATTCACCTTTATGTAAATATACTGAACAAAAATCTAAACGAAACATGCAACAATTTCAACGATTTGACTGAGTTACAGTTCATATAAGGAAATCAGTCAATTGAAATCAATTCATTAGGCCCTAATCTATGGATTTCACATCACTGGGCAGGGGTGCAGCCATGGGTGGGCCTTGGAGGGCATAGGCCCACCCACTTGGGAGCCAGTCCCAGCCAATCAGAATGAGGTTTTTCCCCATCTAAAATGACAGAGGCAGCTTATGGTAGAGAAATTAACATTAAATTATCTGGAAACAGCTCTGGTGGGGCCTCCCGAGTATCGCAGCGGTCTAAGGCACTGCATTGCAGTGCTGGAGGTGTCACTACACATCCGGGATCGATCCCAGCAGCCGGCCACGACCGGGAGACCCATGAGGCGCCGCATAATTGGCCCAGCGTCGTCCGGGTAAGAGGAGGGTTTGGGATGTCCTTTTCCCATCGCGCTCTAGCGACTCATGTGGCGGGCCGGGCGCGTGCACGCTGACACGGTCACCAGTTGGATGGTGTTTCCTCAGACACATTGGTGCGGCTGACTTCCGGGTTAAGCGAGCAGTGTGTCAAGAAGCAGTGCGGCTTGGCAGGGTCGTGTTTCGGAGGATGTTTCTTGAGACATCTGTGACTAAACTGCACATTTTAAAGTGGCCTTTCATTGTCCCCAGCACAACATTTACATTTACATTTTAGTCATTTAGCAGACGCTCTTATCCAGAGCGACTTACATGAGCAATTAGGGTTAAGTGCCTTGCTCAAGGGCACATCGACAGATTTTTCATCTAGTCGGCTCAGGGATTAGAACCAGCGACCTTTCGGTTACTGGCACAACGCTCTTAACCACTAAGCTACCTGCCACAAGGTGCACCTGTGTAATGATCATGCTGTTTAAAAAGCTTATTGAAATGCCACACCTGTCAGGTGGATGGATTATCTTGGAGAAATGCTCACTAAAAGGGATGTAAACAGAGTTGTGCAAAAACATTTTGAGAGAAATAAGCTTTTTGTGTGAATGGAAAATGTCTGTGAACTTTTATTTCAGCTCATGAAACATGGGACCAACACCTTACATGTTGCGTTTATATTTTTGTTCAGTGAAAATAAATTATTACAAGGTTGAAATAACATTCCTTTATGTGCACGTTTTTGTTATTAATGTATTCATTAATGTAGCCTATTAGTAGGTTTATGAATAAAAATGTTTAATTTATACTGTCTATAAGGAAGGCAATGGAAGGTATTTATTTTATACAATATTCTGCCCATATTAATAAAACATTTTTAGGGCGTAAGTGAACCAATATATGAGAGCCTTCAGACAGATTTAAACAAGTTTTTAAATGAGTTTCCCCACAGAAGAGATATGAGAGCCTTCGAGTTTCCCCACGACGGCGCCACCACCAGCGCGTTATTCCCCAGCCAATCGCGCAAGCGCAGACGAAAGAGTCAGCGATAAAGGAGTTTGCTTCTCCTACAGCCTTCGCTGTAAAATATAATGCGCTGCTTTGGTTAAGACGAGACCCTGGTTCTTGATCTTTCACCCACTTCCACACTGGCCTGTTTATGACCTTTCCATTTGGTCTTTGGCCAGCCACCAATAGGCCCCGAGAACCTGACCTTGCGTTACTCACCTTACCCTCATGGCTGGCACTGACCCAGACACACACACACATAACATGCCCTCTCACTAGTGCTGAGCAATTAGTGCTTTTTGAGGTCGATTACGGTGCAATCATTTTTTTAAACATGAAATGCACTATGCATTATGTGGGTATAATGCTGTAACAACACAGAATAAAACAATTAATAAAAGTCACATGATGGTAGTGACTGCTCGTTACTGCTTATTTACATGTTGGTCATTTAGCAGACGCTCTTATCCAGAGTGACTTACAGTTAGTGAGTGCATACATTTTTTCATACTGGTCCCCTGTGGGAATCGAACCCACAACCCTGGCGTTGCAAACGCCATGCTCTACCAACTGAGCTACAGGGGACTGGTTATCACTTATTAACCATTTATTCACATTACTTTAATAAAATATTTCAGTTGTGTATATTACATTTGTTTTATTTGATGACTTTTTTTCATTCCAATTACTTTAACATCTATATACAGTGAGGGGAAAAAAGTATTTGATCCCCTGCTGATTTTGTATGTTTGCCCACTGACAAAGAAATTATCAGTCTATAATTTTAATGGTAGGTTTATTTGAACTGTGAGAGACAGAATAACAACAACAACAAATCCAGAAAAACCCATGTCAAAAATGTTATAAATTGATTTGCATTTTAATGAGGGAAATAAGTATTTGGCCCCCTCTCAATCAGAAAGATTTCTGGCTCCCAGGTGTCTTTTATACAGGTAACGAGCTGAGATTAGGAGCACACTCTTAAAGGGAGTGCTCCTAATCTCAGTTTGTTACCTGTATAAAAGACACCTGTCCACAGAAGCAATCAATCAATCAGATTCCAAACTCTCCACCATGGCCAAGACCAAAGAGCTCTCCAAGGATGTCAGGGACAAGATTGTAGACCTACACAAGGCTGGGATGGGCTACAGGACAATAGGCAAGCAGCTTGGTGAGAAGGCAACAAGTGTTGGTGCAATTATTAGAAAATGGAAGAAGTTCAAGATGACGGTCAATCACCCTCGGTCTGGGGCTCTATGCAAGATCTCACCTCGTGGGGCATCAATGATCATGAGGAAGGTGAGGGATCAGCCCAGAACTAAACGGCAGGACCTGGTCAATGACCTGAAGAGAGCTGGGACCACAGTCTCAAAGAAAACCATTAGTAACACACTACGCCGTTATGGATTAAAATCCTGCAGCGCACTCAAAGTCCCCCTGCTCAAGTCAGCGCATGTCCAGGCCCGTCTGAAGTTTGCCAATGACCATCTGGATGATCCAGATGAGGAATGGGAGAAGGTCATGTGGTCTGATGAGACAAAAATAGAGCTTTTTGGTCTAAACTCCACTCGCTGTGTTTGGAGGAAGAAGAAGGATGAGTACATCCCCAAGAACACCATCCCAACCGTGAAGCATGGAGGTGGAAACATCATTCTTCGGGGATGCTTTTCTGCAAAGGGGACAGGACGACTGCACCGTCTTGAGGGGAGGATGGATTTGGCCATGTATCGCGAGATCTTGGCCAACAACCTCCTTCCCTCAGTAAGAGCATTGAAGATGGGTCGTGGCTGGGTCTTCCAGCATGACTATGACCCGAAACACACAGCCAGGGCAACTAAGGAGTGGATCCGTAAGAAGCATCTCAAGGTCCTGGAGTGGCCTAGCCAGTCTCCAGACCTGAACCCAATAGAAAATCTTTGGGGGGAGCTGAAAGTCCGTATTGCCCAGCGACAGCCCCGAAACCTGAAGGATCTGGAGAAGGTCTGTATGGAGGAGTGGGCCAAAATCCCTGCTGCAGTTGTGTGCAAACCTGGTCAAGACCTACAGGAAACTCTGTAATTGCAAACAAAGGTTTCTGTACCAAATATTAAGTTCTGCTTTTCTGATGTATCAAACATTTATGTCATGCAATAAAATGCAAATTAATTACTTAAAAATCATGCAATGTGATTTTCTGGATTTTTGTTTTAGATTCCGTCTCTCACAGTTGAAGTGTACCTATGATAAAAATTACAGACCTCTACATGCTTTGTAAGTAGGAAAACCTGCAAAATCGGCAGTGTATCAAATACTTCTTCTCCCCACTGTACATGCCCATCTGAAGTTTGCCAATGAACATCTCAAATCAAATCAAATCAAATCAAATTGTATTGGTCACATGCGCCGAATACAACAGGTGCAGACATTACAGTGAAATGCTTACTTACAGCCCTTAACCAACAGTGCATTTATAAAAAAATAAAAATAAAAAAGTGTTAAGAAAAAAAATAGCAGAAGTAAAATAAATGAATGATTCAGAGGAGAACTGGGTGAAAGTGTTGTGGTCAGATGAGACCAAAATGGAGCTCTTTGGCACCAACTCAACTCACCGTGCTTGGAGGAGGAGGAATGCTGCCTATGACCCCAAGAACACCATCCCCACCGTCAAACATGGAGGTGGAAACATTATGCTTTAGGGGTGTTTTTCTGCTAAGGGGACAGGACAACTTCACCGCATCAAAGGGACGATGGACGGGGCCATGTACCGTCAAATCTTGGGTGAGAACCTCTTTCCCTCAGCCAGGGCATTGAAAATGGGTCGTGGATGGGTATTCCAGCATGACAATGACCCAAAACACACGGCCAAGGCAACAAAGGAGTGGCTCAAGAAGAAGCACATTAAGGTCCTGGAGTGGCCTAGCCAGTCTCCAGACCTTAATCCCATAGAAAATCTGTGGAGGGAGCTGAAGGTTCGAGTTGCCAAACGTCAGGCTCGAAACCTTAATGACTTGGAGAAGATCTGCAAAGAGGAGTGGAACAAAATCCCTCCTGAGATGTGTGCAAACCTGGTGGCCAACTACAAGAAACGTCTGACCTCTGTTATTGCCAACAAGGGTTTTGCCACCAAGTACTAAGTCATGTTTTGCAGAGGGGTCAAATACTTATTTTCCCCTCATTAAAATGCAAATCATTTTATAACAGTTTTGACATGCGTTTTTCTGGATTTTTTTGTTGTTTATCTGTCTCTCACTGTTCAAATAAACATACCATTAAAATTATAGACTGATCATTTCTTTGTCAGTGGGCAAACTTACAAAATCCGCAGGGGATCAAATACTTTTTTCCCTCACTGTAGCTGCTACCTATGCTGTCTGACAAAATCACTATTTTAGTAGTTCTTCAAAGTAAATAAGGCATACTTTTATGACTGACTGCTGTTAGCAGACGCTCTTATCCAGAGCGACTTACAGGAGCAATTAGGGTTAAGTGCCTTGCTCAAGGGCACATTAACGTCATTTAGCAGACGCTCTTAGCCAGAGCGACTCACAAATTGGTGCGTTCACCCTATAGCCAGTGGGATAACCACTTTACAATTTGGGGTGGGGGGGGGTAGAAGGATTACTTTATCCTATCCCAGGTATTCCTTAAAGAGGTGGGGTTTCAAATGTCTCCGGAAGGTGGTGAGTGACTCCGCTGTCCTGGCGTCGTGAGGGAGCTTGTTCCACCATTGGGGTGCCAGAGCAGCGAACAGTTTTGACTGGGCTGAGCGGGAACTATGCTTCCGCAGAGGAAGGGGAGCCAGCAGGCCAGAGGTGGATGAACGCAATGCCCTCGTTTGGGTGTAGGGACTGATCAGAGCCTGAAGGTACAGAGGTGCCGTTCCCCTCACTGCTCCATAGGCAAGCACCATGGTCTTGTAGCGGATGCGAGCTTCAACTGGAAGCCAGTGGAGTGTGCGGAGGAGGGGGGTGACGTGAGAGAACTTGGGAAGGTTGAACACCAGACGGGCTGCGGCATTCTGGATGAGTTGTAGGGGTTTAATGGCACAGGCAGGGAGGCCAGCCAACAGCGAGTTGCAGTAGTCCAGCCGGGAGATGACAAGTGCCTGGATTAGGACCTGTGCCGCTTCCTGTGTAAGGCAGGGTCGTACTCTCCGAATGTTGTAGAGCATGAACCTGCAGGAGCGGGTCACCGCCTTGATGTTGGCGGAGAACGACAGGGTGTTGTCCAGGGTCACGCCTAGGCTCTTCGCACTCTGGAGAGGAGACACAGCGGAGTTGTCAACCGTGATGGCGAGATCATGGAACGGGCAGTCCTTCCCCGGGAGGAAGAGCAGCTCCGTCTTGCCAGGGTTCAGCTTGAGGTGGTGATCCGTCATCCATACTGATATGTCTGCCAGACATGCAGAGATGCGATTCAATCACTTAGATCATGTATTTTCTCGTGCATTCCTGTCACAGACCGGACAAGTAGGTGCACAATGGGTTAAGGTCATAGTTTATCACAGAAAATGTAGTAATTAACAATGTAGAATATTGGCCTGTTGGAAACTACAACTCCCTACTACATCGCACAGTTCAGGTTTTATCTGAGTTATCTCTAGAGAATGTGCGCAATGAGCTCACAGAAGAAAACCCCCAAAAATGGAATCCAAATAATTGAACCGACGTTGGTCTATTAGTTGTTTATTATATTTCTGTTTGTGTTGTGCAGGTGACGGGCGCTACTCTCTTTTGGGTCAGCCTCTCCAGTACAGCCTCTGTCCCCCTCTCATGCACAGCCAGACAAACTACAGCTCACATCAGGTACTACCTCTCTCCCCCTCTATCTCTCTCTCTCCCCATCCCTCCCTTCTCACCCTCCTTGAAGCACACTGCAGCTACTCCTCCAGCCATCCCTCCCCCTCCACTCCATTCCTGCATATCTACTAGCCTGTAACCTTGTTGACACTTTTGCTGTTGGTGTGTTGCAGAGCCAAGTAGGAATGAAGCATGGTGCGAGAGGGAAGAGGCAGACACTGAAGTCTCAATCTACAGATCTGGGCGCCACTGACGTAGGTAAGACAACACAGACGTCTCCATTACGGTCTATATGGTATATCTACAGTATATTTTGTGCTTTCACGATCCAGATGACCTCAGGACTCAAGGTTTGGGCCTCTCTATGATTCAGTACATTTGACTTACGTCCTGCACACACACACACATCCAGAACACAAATACTAGATTTTTTTAATTAATTCATTTATTTCATTGTACCTTTTATTTTACCAGGCAGGTCAATTAAGAACACATTCTTATTTACAATGATGGCCTGGAATGGGTCTGATTGTATGGAAGTTGTATTAGTGTCTGATCTTTCTCCTCCCTGTCTCCAGTGGTGAGTCGGGTGCTGGAGGTGACTGATCTCCCAGAGGGCATTAGTCGTCCAGAGGCTGAGAAGCTCTTCAACCAGCTTTCCATGTGTGGTGCCAAAATCCAGTGGCTCAAGGACCCAGTGGCGGGGGGCCGTGGAGGCTATGGTGGCCCAGGAGTGCATCACGGTCCTGGGCATGGTCCTGGGGCTGGAGGGGGGAAAGGTGACTGCCCCGGCAGTGACCCAGCTCACCTCTACACAGTGGTGGCTGTGTTCCCCTCCACCATGGCTGCACAGAGTGCTTCCTTTAAACTCAACAACAGTGGGGTCAGCCTCTTCAAACTGAGGGCTGCCAAAAAGAACTATGACCTGAGAGTCCTGGAGAGGGCCAGCTCCCAGTGAAAAGAAAGAGAGGGGGGACGAAGAAAGAAAGAAAGACTTTTGGAAAGGAGGAGTGGAAAGGAGTTGGACTGAGGGGAAAAGATGGATAAGACGTCACACATTAAAGGGAAGGGGTGAACACCGAACACAAATGGAGAGGATGGTGTTTGCAAAATATACAATTATTGTTTTTGATTGTTTTATTTTATATTATTGATACCTTAAGAGCACATAAGATACGTGAGCATGTGGATCACTGTTGCCATGTATGAGTGCCATCACACACACACACACACAAACACACACATTCTTATGTACAGACGGGCAACAGGATCACGTAGCACACACCTGAACACACTAGGACAGTTCAACCTCAGTCCATCCTTCCCCTCCCTCCCCCTGCTCTCCTCCAGCCTTCCTCCTTTTTCTTTCTAATACCCTCTCTTACACTCCCGCCACGTGTCTCATGCTCTCTTCTTCTCTGCATAACCCCACTCACTCCTCTCTCCTCTTGCTTTCTGTTTGCCTTATACTGCTGTTGTGGGTTTCTGTATTGCGCTGTTTTTCTCAGAAGAGTATTGTTCTTTTTCGGTTCGATATATTTATATATTGATGTAAGGAATAAATCTATATATTCAGTGATTTTTTTCAGTGGATAAGTTTAGGAACCCCCTTTATGATACCCTCTCTTTCCCCTACCTCACGCCTCCAACTTACTCCTTCCTACCCTACCCCTCTTACCCCGTTCTATCCTACTCCACTACCATATCCTCCTCTACCCTTACTCTCCCAACTTACCCCATTGTCCAAATGTACCCTGTGCTTCCCTAACCCACTACCCTGTTACTTCTTACCCATTCTCCCCCACCCCACTATCCCAAATTACCCCTTTCTCCCCTACCTTACGACCTCAATTTACCCCATGTTCGCCCACCCCAATACCCAAACTACCTCGTTCTCCGCCACCCCTCTGAACCCAATATACCCCACTACCCCCCAACTTACCTCTAACCCACTCTCTCATCCTCATTGTGCTTGCGTTTTTCGTTGACAGCTGTGCAGAACGTATCAGAATAAATAGTTAAAAGTGCACAATGATTGCATAATGTCTGCTGTAAATTTTATTTAATCTGTTATTTTTTGTTTGTTTTTAAAAATATAAAAGCAACAAAAAAAATACTGTCTGTCGTCATTGTTTGAACAGATCTGGGTGGAATCTTTGCTGTGGGATTTATTTAATCAATTTGACTTCTATCTAATCTCTCTAACACACAAGGTGAATCATGAGATTGAGGTGCATTTTGCAGTTTACGGAACACAGACTTCCTTATATCCAAGGAATTTATTAAGTTCCGGGGGTATTATGATGCATCTGACAGTTGCTCCTTTTTTTTTATTTATTCCTTGCTTCTATCCCATGGAATGAAATAGAACACTCAGTGGCCAGTTTATTAGGTACAACCATCTTGTACGGGGTCAGACCCCCCTTTGCCTCCAGAACAGCCTGAATTCTAAGGGGCATAGCGTTAAATTGCTGCTCAATTGGTATCAAAGAACCTAGCGTGTGCCAGGAAAACATTCCGCACATCACCGACACCAGCCTGTACTGTTAACACCAGGTAGGATGGGGCCATGAACTCATGCCGCTTACGCCAAATCCTGCCTGCCATCAGCATGATGCAACAGGATCTTTGATTCGTCGGACCAGGTTTTTCCACTCCTCAATTGTCCAGTGTTGGTGATCGCGTGCCCACTGGAGCCGCTTCTTGTTTTTAGCTGACAGGAGTGGAACGCTGTGTGGTCATCTGCTACAATATCCCATCTGCGAAAAGGATCGACGAGTTGTGTGTTTTAAGATGCCGTTCTGCACACCACTGTTGTACTGCACTGTTATCTGTTTGTGGCCCGCTTGTTAGATTCTTGCCATTCTCCTTCGACCTCTCACCAACAAGCTGTTTTCGCCCACAGGACTGCCGCTGACTGGATGTTTTGTTTGTCACACCATTCTCGGTAAACCCTAGACACTGTCGTGCGTGAAAAACCCAGGAGGCCAGCTGTTTCTGAGATATTGGATCCAGCCTGCTTGGCACCGAAGATCATACCACGCTCAAAGTCGCTTAGGTTACTGGTTTTGCCCATTCTAATGTTCAGTTGAACAGTAACTGGATGCCTGTCTGCCTGATTTATATAGCAAGTCACGGCCACATCACTCACTGTCTGTAGGAGCGATCCATTTGTGTGAATGGTGTGGTGTACCTAATCAACTGGCCACTGAGCGTATGCAGTGTGTTCGGAAAGTATTCAGACCCATTTACTTTTTACACATTTTGTTACGTTACAGCCTTATTCTATAATGGATTAAACTAATATTCTCCTCATCAATCTACACACAATACCCCATAAGGACAAAGTGAAAACCGTTTTTTAGAAATGTTTGCTAATTTATTTTAAAAAACAAATACCTTATTTAGCTAAGTATTCAGAACCTTTGCTATGAGACTTGAAACTGAGCTCAGGTGCATCATGTTTCTATTGATCATCCTTGAGATGTTTCGGCAACTTGGAGTCCACCTGTGGTAAATTCAATTGATTGGACATGATTTGGAAAGGCACACACCTGTCTATATAAGGTCCCACAGTTGACAGTGCACATCAGAGCAGAAACCAAGCCATGAGGTCGAAGGAATTGTCCGTAGAGCTCTGAGACAGGAGTGTGTTGAGGCACAGATCTGGGGAAGGGTACCAAAAAAATTTCTGCAGCATTGAAGGTCCCCAAGAACACAGTGACCTCCATCATTCTTAAATGGAAGAAGTTTGGAATTACCAAAACTCTTCCTAGAGCTGGCCACCCGGCCAATCGGGAGAGAAGGGCCTTGGTCAGGGAGGTGACTAAGAACCCGTTGGTCACTCTGACAGAGCTCCAGAGTTCCACTGTGGAGATGGGAGAATCTTCCAGAAGGACAACCATCTCTGCAGCACTCCACCAATCAGGCCTTTATGGTAGAGTGGCCAGACGGATGCCACTCCTCAGTAAAAGGCACATGACAGCCCGCTTGGAGTTTTCCAAAAGGCACCTAAAGGACTCTCAAACCATGAGAAACAAGATTCTTTGGTATGATTGAACTCTTTGGCCTGAATGCCAAGCGTCACATCTGGAGGAAACCTGGCACCATCCCTACGGTGAAGCAGGGTGATGGCAGAATCATGCTGTGGGGATGTTTTTCAGCAGCAGCGACTGGGAGACTAGTCAGGATCGAGGGAAAGATGAACAGAGCAAACGACAGAGAGATCCTTGATGAAAACTTGCTCCAGAGCGCTCAGAATGTCAGACTGGGGCGAAGGTTCACCTTCCAACAGGACAACGACCCTAAACACACAGCCAAGACAACGCAGGAGGGGCTTCGGGACAAGTCTCTGAATGTCATTGAGTGGCCCAGCCAGAGCCCGGACTTGAACCCGATCGAACATCTCTGGAGAGACCTGAAAATAGCTGTGCAGCGACACTCCCCATCCAACCTGACAGAGCTTGAGAGGATCTGCAGAGAAGAATGGGAGACAATCCCCAAATAAATGTGTGCCAAGCTTGTAGCGTCATACCCAAGAAGACTCGAGGCTGTAATCGCTGCCAAAGGTACTTCAACAAAGTACTCAGTAAAGGGCCTGAATACTTATGTAAATGTCATATTTCCGTTGTAAATTTTTTATACATTTACAAGGATTTATACTAACCTGTTTTTGCTTTGTCATTATGAGGTATTGTGTGTAGATTGAGAAGAAAACATTTAATCCATTTTAGAATAAGGCTGTAAAGTAACACATTGGAAAAAGTCTAGGTCTGAGTACTTACCGAATGCAATGTATCGCTATGTTCTATCCCCTCTAGAATCCTGAAGTGAGTCACCTGTTGACATCAACATCACTGGAGAGATGTGATGACTTCTACCCTTCCAAGAGACGTTTGTGTGTTTCAGAGACGTGACACTCTTGTCAGCATCACATCATCACTGGACAGCTATAATGACTTTGTACTCTTTAGAGATGGTTCTATCCATCTCACTGTCCGGTTCACTGTTGAAGGTACAACAATACTGTTTGAGCATGGGGACAATGCATACTAATATTAATTTGATTTATTAACAATGTTCACCGTGTGAGGCTGGTCCTGGGTCAGGTATTAGGCCTAATGCAAACACTCAACACTTGATTTCTGAATTACCAGATGGTCACCAATGTCATTGATATGAAAATCAAATCAAATCACATTTTATTTTGTCACATGCGCCGAATACAACAGGTGTAATGCTTACTTACAAGCCCTTAACCAACAATGCAGTTTTAAGAAAAAATAAGTGTTAAAAGTATTTACTAAATAAACTGAAGTAAACAATAATAAGAAAAAAATAAGAAAATAGAAAAATAACAAATAATTAAAGATCAACAATAAAATAACATTAATGAGGCTATATACAGGGGGTACCGGTACAGAGTCAATGTGTGGGGGCACAGGTTAGTCGAGGTAATTGAGGTAATATGTACATGTAGGTAGAGGTAAAGTGACTATGGATAGATAATAAACAGAGTAGCAGCAGTGTAAAAATGTGGTTAGCTGTTCAGGAGTCTTATGGCTTGGGGGTGGAAGCTGTTAAGAAGCCTTTTGGACCTAGACTTGGCGCTCCGGTACCGCTTGCCATGTGGTAGTAGAGAGAACAGTCTATGACTAGGTTGGCTGGAGTCTTTGGCAATTTTTAGGGCCTTTCTCTGACACCACCTGGTATAGAGGTCCTGGATGGCAGGAAGCTTGGCCCCAGTGATGTAGTGGGCTGTACGCACTACCCTCTGTAGTGCCTTGTGGTCGGAGGCCGAGCAGTTGCCATACCAGGCTGTGATGCAACCAGTCAGGATGCTCTCAATGGTGCAGCTGTAGAAGTTTTTGAGGATCTGAGGACCCATGCCAAACCTTTTCAGTCTCCTGAGTGGGAATAGGCGTTGTCGTGCCCTCTTCACGACTGTCTTGGTGTGTT